CAAATGTAAAACAAGTTGAATATATTAGACTTCATTGCAACTTTTAACGTGAAAAATTATGCAGAATTAAAAATTACCGCAGCATTCTGAGCTTGATGCTAATTAAGGTGTTCCCAAACTTTTTCTATGTCCGTAATTTTGTGTTAATCCTCACAATTATTTGCGTCAGCGTTATTTTGAATATCATCAACAGCTAGCCAACCTGTGGAATAAAATTTTAACGTAAGGCCAAAAAAAAAAAAATCGGTCTCTGGTCAGACCGAAGTTCCGGAATTGATGCGGCCACGCGGTTTTTTTTTTTTTTTTTTTTTTTTGGTGGCTTTTTTTTTTCAAGCTTGAATTGTACAGACAAGGTGGGTACTATTTTGCTTTTTTTTGTGTCCTCATTATACATTGGTGTCCTCCATCATTTGCCTTGGTGCCCTTTGTCATGTGCCTTGGTGCAATTTCCCCATTCGAGGAGGTGCGGCAAAAGAGGGCGCTTTTGTAGCTTCCGTGTTAATTTGAAGAAAAAAAGATTGACGCGCATGATTGAAATTGACGTGCGCGCTGACCAGAGACCGAGTATTTTTTATTTTTGGCCTAAGAAACAAATCATTATTCTTAAAGCAACGGAGTACACTGTTTTGCCATTACGAAATACATTGGCTCCCAGTGTCTTACCCTTTCACTACATGGCCAGCTCAAATGTGCTATTCACATAATGTTGTATGCACATGTGATTATCTGATTATTTTTTCACCAAACATTTTTTTATTTCATCAAAGAGTGTTGGTCATGTGTTTAGGAACTGTCTGGGATTATTTTTAAAGTCTTAATTAGTTTGTTATAATTGATTGAATATTAATTAGGCAATCATTAGTAAGCAATAAAAGCTAATTGGGTAGGACAAGATTAATTCGTTCCTGCAGGTTATTTTCAGTCCAATCATAAATCAACTTTGACAATTCACAAATTTGCAACTCAGTTCTGCATCTGGCCTCATACTGTTATCTTTTTGAACACGAGATCAAAGACATTACACTCTACGTATATACAATGCTGGCTGCAACCAACCATCTTGTCTAGCTGCTTGATACGGAAGCGTACGTATTATGGCCATCCACGTTACTGCATTACTTAAATATCTTGGAAACATGGAATCTCTATGGGTGCACACCGGTAAATAGGCCTAAATCCGTCCGCCGAGCTCATGAATAAAAGTTATACCCTCAAAATATTCTATATTAGAGAGTTCTGAGCGCCGTAAACTTGGGGAATTGAAGAGATATGGTAATGAACCTCTGGCCCGGACTTGGGGCTTCCAATTCTGAGCATTTTGGATGCTATTGGGCTCGAAAGTGGCACTATTTTGCCATGTTGTGGAGGGATCGTTTTTCAAGATGGCTACTTTTCCGCTTTGGGGAAAATAGGGGTCGTCTTCTTTGGGTGCGAATATCTCGAAAAGTCAATGGTCAACCCACCAAAAAATGAAAAGAAAACGAAAGATGACATGTTGATCATCATTTTTCTGTGCAGCTTGAATACCTGTGAGAGTTCTGAGTATTTTTAAAAGAATTTTGAAGTATGGGTATTTAGCACTAGTGTCTATGGGAATTTATTTGCAAGGTTGCATCCCTATATAAAGACTGGATAGCGGATATTCATACACCAGTTATTGACCAATTCGCCCCGGTCTCACGAAGATGGCCGTGTATATACAGCGTGCGCTGTATCAGGAGTTGACGCGTATTTTGGTCACGTACACGTATTATTATGTTCTAAAAAGGACACATTTCCGCAGTGATTATTATTTTCAAAAACGCCGATAAAGGAAATGCGGCATTAAAAAAAAAAGCAAACCACGACGTAAGAAAAATTGTAAACAGTGGTCAGTGGCGGTGGTCAAAACATAAATCAAGTGAATCGCGATGTTACAAAAGTAACCATGATGCTATAAAGACCACAACTTGTCTGATGTAGATCACCAGCCAGTCTCACCGGTCTCACCAATATGGCGTCAAATTCATTCATTGTGCGGCCCTTTATCCGCTATCGAGTCTTTTTTTATAGAGATCAGTGTCGATAACACGCGGCTGCGATAACCCGTCGCCACGAGAATGCGTTATCACGACCTACCATGTGGTAGGTCGTGACCTACCATGTGGTAGGTCACGACCTACCATGTGGCAGACCGGTATTAAGCCTAAACCCATCCACCGAGCTCATGACTAAAAGTTGTACCGGCAAAATAGTCTTTATTAAAAAGTTCTGAGCATTTTGGATGCAATTAGGCTCGAAAGTGGGGCTATTTTGCAATGTTTTGAATGGATCGTTTTTCAAGATGGCTACGTTTCCGCTTTTGGGGAAAAAGGGGTCGTCTTCTCGAGAATATCTTGAGAAGTCAATGGTCAACCGACCCAAAAATGAAAAGAAAATGAAACATGACATGTTGATGATCATTTTATGTGCAGTTTAAATACCTTTGAGAGTTCTGAGTATGTGTAAAATAATTTTGAAGTATGAGCATTTAGCACTGGTGTCTATAAGAATTTTAATTAAGGGTTGCACCCATATTGCCCAAGAACCCGTGAGAAACAACGTCGAGGCCGAGTATTATTTGTTGCGTAAAGCGAATGCACCTGTTTGGCCTAATTGGCTGTTTCGGCACTTTTGCCGAAACAGCCTTTGTTTTCGTTAAGATTTTTTTGGGGGCTGTTTCGGCATCCAGCCGAATGCTTCAAGTATAATTCTTTTTCAGTCATTTTGCCCATAGCACTTGTACACGTTTTTTTGTTACCGGCACTTTTGCCAGTAAAATCAATCCGATTGCCTGTATAATTGGCACACACTTAGACCAGCATCTAATGTTGTGCGCCGAACATTGACGTCATCATGATGTCATCATGAGTCACGTGACGTCACATTATATGCGATTTTTATGTTGTGACCATTTTCTAGCAGAATTCGGCTAGATCTGACAGATTGGGCTATATCTCCAGAACTACAGGTCCGATTGGGTTGAAAGTTGGTATGTACCTAGACCGGGACGTCTTATAGATGAAAATTAACTCGACGTCATGATGACGTCATCACGTGACATATGACGTCATATAAAATAAACATATTTTGAAGGCCTATATCTCCTGAACAACAGGTCCGATTGGGTTGAAAGTTGGTATGTACCTAGACCGGGATGTGTTATAGATGAAAATTGAAGTGACGTCATGATTATGTCATCATGGGTCACCTGAGGTCACGTTAAAGATTATTAGATCTTTGAAAATCAATATAAATTCAACCGTGAGAGACCTGAACTTGACGTTTGCAGGAATCGATAGAATAATCCAGGGTCTTAATTTTTATATATTATGTGCAAAATCACGTGACCCTTCCTTCCAGTTGAAACCGGAAGTGCCTTGTAATTTAAAATTGGTGAAAGATGTGAACTTGCTTTTCACGATGTATGCTATGGCTAAGTTGTTATTTACAAACAAAAATATAGTTATAGATGAAAATTGATGTGACGTCATCATGACGTACTTACGTCACATGTGACGTCATAATTCAAAGCCCTATGGGAATGTAATCACATATTATATGCCACCAGTTATTAACAACAGAACTACACATTCTTCCTGGATGGACCTTGCACTTCAAACTTTACATGTCACATGTCACAAAAAATACCGAAACAGCCGTATATTTGTCCACAAACATGAGTCTAATATAGTTTTGATTTTTGCGGCGCGCATTCAAAACATAGTAGTTCTGAACTCAACTCTTAAATTTCTTCCAGTAGCACACAAGATGCAGCAAGACTTTTGTGCAACTTCATTGGTCAACCTTTTTGTGGTGTGAAGTATGAGTGAGACTGAGAATGGACCGTAATTGCCTGCAGAAGTATCGAATGCGCACTAATTTCCCCCATTTTCGGGGGGAAATTTAAGCAATTAGCCTAGACTTTCTTGCTCAAACATGAAACAGCCTGAGTGCTGTAAACGGCCAACACCGCGAAAGACACGCATTGCAGTCAATCCTGAAGTGTGCACATCCGGGTATTTTTTGCCCACTTACAAAATGGCGGCGAGGTCTACAGGGTGGCACTCTGCATTGTGTGTGCGGTATAGTGAATGCGCGCTCTAGTTTTTATATTATAACTCTATGCTCACGGGTTTGTGGGCGATATGGCTGGTCGTGATAACGCCCTCTCGTAGCGGCGGGTTATCGAGTATCAAACAAACAACTTCTAGCCCCTAGACTACCGACAATCCTTCCCCTTTCCCCAACTCAAATTAAATACAACCCCCTCCCCTTTACGCAACTCAAAATATACAATTAGGCCCATTTATTTATGGCCCATGATCAAAACCGCAGAGCTGCTGGCAGAGATCCAGGAGATTGTTCTAATTTGTCGGTATGGGTCTGCAATTCAATTATAATATATTTCACAACAATCAATGAACGTACAGTAATTGGGATTTAACTGGGGCCTATATATCACCAAGGTCCTTAGTTCTTAATTAATTGGGAGAGAACCATCTGCATAACAATGCCAGCAATTAACCACATTGTAACCAATGCGCACGAGCATCTGATTCAGCAACGAACAACAACAGCAGCAATCCACAACATCATAAGCATTGTACAAAAGCCTAAACATTGTACAACCGCATCGGCACGACACACCCGCATCTGCATTGCACCTGCTCAAAACATGAAACAACCGCATCAGAATAAGCCTTTTCGGAGCTCCAACTGCGCATTCATAACCTGTGACAACGCGCATTATTTGTCTCAAATGGCCTTTGACATCATCGCGCCACTGACTTTACAAAAAGGCTGTTTGTGCATTGTGGGTACTGTCAAAGGGCATTTGAGACAAACAACGTGCGTTGTCACAGGTTACGAATGCGCGCAGTTGGAACTCCGAAAAGGCTTATTACACGTTCTCGTACCCCACATAAGCTGGCATCAGCGACGTACAGCTATAGTGTGATCTTTGATGACGTCACCGATTTTTTTTTCGGCCATCTTGGATCACAAACGTTCGTGCACACGTTCGCAATTGTACATGCCATTGCATGCGATCACGTCGAATCGGATGTCCACTGTTGTTTTTTATCTTTAGTTTTTACACAATCTGGACCGAGTCAACCACTAGTGCCTTTTTCAGCACAACGAATTTGAGTATGCCAATAAGTACCAGACGGGGTTTGGGGGCAAAATGTACAGCGGCTTTTGAGCACATTAGGCCTATGCAAATACGTTCGTCTCCGTCTTGAACTCGTGTGGTAGTAGTATATAGCAAATGTTGGCATTCCATCTATGGGGCTCTCCGCTTCGTTGTGCCGGCATAGTTCCAGGAGTAGGTGCGTACACAAGGAAATGAACGATACCAGGAAACGAAATCGCGTATGGCAGCTTATTCAATTTATTGCGTAGGGGTAAAAGCCGGTCATCAATAGCCGAATCTGGTCTTACGGCCTTATCTTGGTTTTGTAGCATTGTGATCGTGCAGCACGCATAGTCAAGGTACACTTACTAGCTAACACGTTTACACTGATTGTATTCCAAGATGGCTGACCATACGCGTTAAGCCCGGTTCATACTTCACGCGAAAGCGAAAATCGAGACGTCAACAATACATTCGAAGCGCGTCCACCATTGTTGACGACATGAATTTCGCTTCGCACAAGCTTTCGCGTGAAGTATGAACCGGGCTTTACCAAGAATAATATTATGCGACGTCAAAGCGGAGGATCTATTTAGGTTTGTAAAGTTGCAATACTTCAGATACATGGGCAGCGTAACCTAAGCACAGCTTAAACGGTGTTGTACAAGCTGCACCATACGCATTACACACAATCGCTGCAAGTATTACCTACTTCTCTGTTTCCCAGCGCTCAACTGACCCAGAGCGTCAAACTAAGGAACTTAATGGCGAACTCACCACCTCGGTCATTCCATCCAAAGACACGACTTGCCCAAGGGTTACTTTCCCCAGCCTCCAATAGCATTTGTGGTGTGGGTTGGCAACAATCAATTTGGCTTAAAAAAAAATAACACCTTGACCAGTTCAGTTGATATGCTTCCTCGTGCAGGATCCATGAATGCTCAAGAATGCCTTTTTTCCCTTGGTATAGCATTGTGAACACGAAAGATGGCGTCCCAATCACTGCCGAGTCTGCTCAAGAACCCAGACCACTACCTCAAGGTGTTCAATACATACTGTTCTGCCTCTGGGAAATTCAACGTGTACCAGGCGTGGGTGGACAGTGAACACTTCAGCGAGGCGGTGGTTGGTAAACTCCAGGCCACACTGGACGGACAAGAAGGGCTACGGGTTCTGGGAGTGGGTAGCGGATCCGGTAGGTATAAAAGTTGTAAAAACGTTATGTTTACTTTTCAAACACATCATTAACGCTTTTTCAACCGTTAGGAAGCATGTTATTCAATCTATTTAACGCTTCCTAACTTGCTTACTTTCCAAACAGCGCCGCTCACGAGGCCGGTGCTAACAATATAAATGGTCCTTTGAGGTTTTGTACTGGATATCTGCATGACAATTATAATGAATTCACATAGGGATGTGTATGAATTGTTTTTGTTTTGCTGAATGAACGCTCACCTTTTTACAATAACATGTTCAAAAGTTAAAAACTGGATTTTACAGAATACATGTACATGAAGGCGCTTCCCATTTTTAACCAAGATCGGCCTGATGGGTTTTTTTCTTTGACGTTTTCAACCCTCAGTCCTTCGGAAAAAGCCAACGAATGAAGAATTGTGTTTCCTACTCATAACTTAGTTTGGAAACCGCGGGATATGGGAAGTGTTTTAGGAGTAAAATCGGCAGAATTTTTGGATCTTTAGCTTGTTCCCAAAGCGGTTTCCAAATTACATGTAATTCAATTATCGATGACGGATGTGTAATGCTCTAATTTATTGTATTACCATGTAAGTGGATGTAGATTGGGAAAAGAAAATTCGTCGCCGAGGAAGGGCTGGGCGTTTGTTCTGGCGAGAATTACCTGAGGAAACTCATCGGTATTCCGACAGCGCAACGGTGGAAAACAAAAGAGCTGACTATAGTTAAGTGTATGAGATAAACGCATAAGTGCAATTGTAAACAGGTCTATGAGGAAGATGGTGACCAAATGCAAAATCCGGTTTTTACACAAACGTTCTAATATAGCGCATTCTAAAATCTTAAATTTTGTTCTCAAAACGGAACGAGAACAGGAAAAAGCTAATTTGAATAACGTAAAGCATGCTTCAAACACGGATTGCTTTCTATGTAGCCGAGTATAGTTACAATATAGCAACAAAACCTAGTTTAGTTACTTATGTTTCACGTCATGTTTCCATCCGTTATCTGACCCAGGTGAGATCGATTGCGCCATTTTAGAACAGCTCTTACGACAATTTCCACGCATCGATAATCGTGTAGTTGATCCTTCTGATGAGCTGCTAGGCCGATACAAGGCATTGGCCGAATCTAGGGCTCACCAACTACACGGTGTTACTTGTGACTGGCGGCAGCAGACGATCGAGCAGTACGAAAAGGCGGGAGATTTGACCAAGTTTCATTTCATCGGCGCAATTCACTCCATGTACCACGCGGACTCGGAAGATGCTCTGAACAGCTGGTTGACGTATTTGTACAGCCGTTTGGAAAACGGTGGAGTTATGCTGATAATTATGAGAACAGGTAGGCCTAAAATAAACTTGGACTTAACATTACCCTTTTCATAAAAACGTATAATGCAACCTTTACCACAACCACAACAGCGTGTACACCACATCAGCAATGAGACAAGACGTACCATGATGAATTGGATGTTCAAAAACAAAGATTAGCATAAAATTACCTATTTCACAAAAACAAACGATAAACACATCCATCACGTACCTCAACCACAAAAACAATCGCAACCACAACCATCACCACTATAACAGCAACTAGACCACAGTTACGCCATTGTCCTTAGTGCATCTAATGCATATTTTGTGAATCGTTACTTTGAACTTAGAGGACTGCGGGTGTACACGTTTTTTGAACGGCTGCCAATTAAGTTTTCGTGACGATTTCAACGACGTTACATCGGGCGACGTACGCAGCTCTCTAGACCGCCTGGGCATCGCGTACACGCAGTACCGCCAACCACAGCGTATGAACATCGCCACGTGCTTCGACCGAGCTTCGGAGGTAGGCAACTTGCTGCTGGATTTCCTTACCTTTACCGTGTGCTTCAGGGAGGCAGCGCCTGAGGATCTACAGACCCGGGTGATGGAGCATCTGGCCAGCAGTGATTGCTCGGAACGGAATGGGGACGAGATCTGGCTCAGTTTGGACTGGGATGCGGTTGTTATAAATAAGCCACTCGGAATAGCCGCGCAATGAGCATTTTGTGCACGAACAACGCCTTTTGACCAATGTGAGACCCCGGTAGCGCCAGTATTAGTCTGGTTCCCTGACCTGACAATTTCCCCTGACGCCCAGACGTCTAAATAGTAGGTCAGGCAGGCTCCGCGGCTAAAATTAAGCATGACGACATTGACGGCCCTTTTTTCATAGCTCGGCTTCGTTTCCGAATTCGCTTTATCACTTATAGCTTTTAATGCGGTTTGCAATATTTTTTCAAGAAACTTAGGTTCTCTGACTTCTTTTTCCCTTCAATTAAAATAATCCTCAAGATACATTTGGAGAAGAGAAACAGTAGATGAAAAATGGACATGATTCGAACCAAGGTCTTTCGATCAGAAACTCATCCCACTAACCACTAGGCTATTGTGGCAACCCGACGCCATCCGTTCTTTAAATTATTTTAATGTAGCTAGTCAACGAAGTGATATGCTGTGACGTCATTGTTGTTTCCTCATGAATAAACATAATACTCCCCAGGTTACTTATGAAAAAAAATACCTTCCTCCGGGTGTGATACTGGCGCTACCGAGACTATGAGAGCAACCTTGTCCCAAGGGCCTACTTTATTGCCAACCCCGCTTCAAATAGTACGCACGTGTAATTTGATTTAGAAGGTGCGCCACATAATTATCAACCTCGTTCCCAAGATAACGATCTTGCTGCGCCATTTTAATTAATTCCCACCATGCCTTGCGAGATCTTACGCCCTGGAATCGTGTAATTTAACAACAAATTATTTGGGAAATTCAAATTAGGACTGCAGTCGATGTGTTTAACGCCCGACGAAGTGCTTTCAATTTTGAAGTTGGTTTTGTTTTAGAATCAATTCCTTCAATCATGAATTTTTTCTCATGTTTTTTTTATTAGCAAAAGCAATATACAGTGGGGGAAAACAGGAATCACTAAAAAATAAAGGTAATAGAATAATAGTATACAATAATTAGGGGGAATACGTAGTAAAAACAACACTAATTTAAAGAGAGAAGCCATGAAGAAGAGTCAGATAATTGTCCAGCAAAAAAAAAAAATATTGAAATTAGAATTCAAATTTAATGAAGAGGAATGGTTTAATTTTTCATTGCAATCCTGTATTCGATATCATGTTGATTTTAAAAAAATAATCTTACCCCAGTAAAGGAGGGACTTTGAGTTTGAAATTTACACCTATAAAAATACAACTTAGTACTAAGAAAAACAAAAAGTCAAAATTGTATTATTGGGAACACCAAATAATTAATGTTTCAAATCTCCCAATTTGTATAGAATCTTTTAGATTTTGATTTTTGAAACAAAGGAGCACAGGATTGGTGTGACACATTACACAGTCATAAAACACACGAAGTGAAGTTTCAGGATATTTTCCACAAAAAGAACAGTTTGGGAAATCTTTTTCTGCCAATTTTGCAAAGAAAATGATTGAAGGCAATTCAAACATGAGATTTCGACGTCGCGTTATAGAGCAAGGATTTGTATTAAATGTCCGTGTACCTCTGTCGCATTCCGCACGCTGTCATAAAGACAACGTACGCTCATGTTGATATCCATATTGGTCGGAGGAGCCCGGACTGTGTGGAAATAAATATGAATATGAATATGAATATGAACTCAATATGAATATGAATACTGGTACCTAAGCGCCACTAGACCAGCACGAGCCTGGTTCCGGCTCAGAAAATGGCTGTCGTCGAGTTAGTCTGTAAAATTAGAGACAAATCAATCATAAGTCAAGTCACAAGCTGTTCTAATGAACTGTAAGGAAGGAATTCCTTCGTTATTGTTCATCCAATTTCTTGTGACCAGACTAATTGACTAGTATATGTAATTGGACTTGAGATTGTACTTTTTAATTTGTTTTTCGCTAAAGTATATTTAATAACTTGATATACTGAATAGATCACTTGGTTGAATAAAGAAATTCACAATAAAACTAAACAGCACGTATTTTGGGTTGAACAAAGCACACAGCACTGTTTTATTAGGCAAAAACTGGTTGCTATAATTGTATGACTATTTCCAAAAGAGAACCGTATATTAAGCAACGTATTATGGTGTCCATAAAATATCCTTCATAAAGTAATTGTGGATAAGTTAATGGTCAGAAAATTACCGCAATATTCAGTATGCATGTACACTGCATGTATTCTTTAATAGTAAGTTTAGTTATCTTTAAATGAAAGGTAATCATCAACATGAAATTGCTTTCAAAACAATGTATATTAATTTTGTTTGAAGATCAGTAAAACCTAACTGCATGAAAGGGAATACAACTCAAACCTATTCTATGCACATGCAAATAATATTTTGAAGATCACATTTTTTGGTAATTGTTCCTATTAACTAAACGTGGTTTGAAAAAACATCGGAATAAAATGTATACTTTTAGAGAGTTGAAAACGTTTGAAATAGATATGGGTAGTTTTACATTACATACGAATAAAAAAATCGTCAGGAAATTTTTTCAACATGTTGAATAGGAAAGGTACATAACAACTTTATGGTCACTTTATAAATGTAGGAAACTACTGATTTGTTTATAGTTAAGAAGACACAAAACAATATCCCATGTAGGTACAAGTTTTAAAAACTACAAAAGAAATCAAACGCGACAGATGCATTAATCAAAATTTGGCATTATTACAATGATAAGTGGTGTGCACTTGGAGCTACATTTTAACTAATTCTTCCAACTTTGCCAACATTGTAACTGCAACATGAGTAGTATAGGAGGCGTCGATGGGACCCCTATTTGTGGTGCTACTCGGAGGGTGGGTGCAGGTGGTGCGGGTGGTGCGGGTGGTGCGGGTGGTGCGGGTGGTGCGGGTTGGTGGAAGTGGTGCGGGTACCGTGGTAGCGACGAAGTCGCAAGCAGGGCTTCATATACCGAGCCACGTTAGTGGCGACGGTGAGCTCACGCTAGTGAACCCGAACGGAGTGGGCAGTAGCGCAAGCCTTGAGACTTGTCTCGAGGGTTGCGTGCGAGCGACGAAGTCGCGAGCAGGGCTCTAAAGTATCTCGGGGCTTACGGATTGAGACAAGGAGACTGGGTAAATAACAGACGACACGGGGTGCCTAAAACCAACCGGAACTCACCAGAACATTCCTTAAGTGGTCAACGGGCAATATACAGTTTGAAGTATTTTATTTAACTACGACTATCGTGTACAAATTAAAACAATCATTACAAAATTAATTACAATTATAAAAGACTAGTTACGTCAAAGGAACAATTAAATAAAAAACAAAATTACGCAAACTCTACCTACTGTTATATAAACAAATGAACAAAAATTAATTAGCTACTATTACAACATTCAGTAGTTACTGTTTCGTGACAGTGTTGAGCAGAGCTCTTGCAATTTGCTTTCCAAGAAATTGTTCGTCATATACCGTTGCGTTCACACGAGGAAAGTGTTTTCTTATAAATTCGTTGACGAGTACGTCATTGTCTCTTTTATCTGAAGAGAATAAAAGCGAAATTTTGCTCATGTTTAATCCCCGGCAGCGTTGTAACAGGAAAAAAATCGAATATTGTCCACACACGGCTGACAATGGTCCTTGCAGGGATCGGTGGTTGTAGCGGGTACACGTCACGTTTTTCTTGAGGAATGTCTTGACCTGCGGTAGCTTCACCGGTTGTCCGTAGGAGTCGAAATACTCGCCCTCGCCATCTCGTGTGATGTAGATGGCTACCCAGTGTTGTCCGGGTTTCGTGGATGGATCCGTGTTGAAAATGAGGGCGCTCGGGCGGGGAACGTAGTGCTTAGGCAGCTGATCGCACGCAAATACCCCTCTGAAGTAATGCTTGGTGACACGGTCATTTTTCAAAATGCCGGCGATTTCATAACTGTCCATGTTGACGGCGTGAAATTTAACTGCTGTAGTCAAAGATGACGTTGCGAGCCTGGTCAATTTCTATGATGTTGTTGAACTCGGCGTAGATGATGACGTTGATGGTTGCCTCCAGTGGTGTGCCAAAGTGCAAGTCCAGTCTCAGGTTGCCACGCTTCACCAGATTGAAGTGTCCTCCCACAGACAAGTCCGGACTCAGATCGAACACAAACAGTGTGTACCCTGCGGGGTAGCTGTCACGAGTAATGATGTTGCCCTCGTCCTGGTACATTTTATCCGTACCGGAGAAGAGGGTCTGGTAGGATCTGATGTAGTTTTTGTTGGCTCCCTCGAATTTAGGTTTTAGTGGTGAATACGGTATCTGTTCCCCGTCAACATGCACCGTCAAAAAGTTGATATTCATGTGCTGGAAATTGAACGGGTTCTTTGAATATTGCCCGTTAAACGCTTGGTTGGTCACGCACCCCACTACGATACGGTTAGGGAGCTGCCCCAGAAACACGTGGTCCTGCGTGAGGGTCAGATTACCGCGGGGTACGGACACCATCTTGCACAGATTACGCTTGATGGGGTATTTGGCGGTGCCTCTCTCCAAAGCCTTCATGTGTCCCAGCATGACGGCCGAACTGACTTTGACTTTCCTGACAAACACGGACGCGTTTAGAATGACCACTTTGTAGGCGGGGTTAGCCCCTGAGGCCATGAGGCAGAATGTTTCGCTGCTGCGAATCAGCTTCAGTTTCAAATCCACGCCGTTCAGCATGTGTTTGTCTTGAAAGAAAATGTCGCTGTGTATCGGTCCCATCATGTCCACCACTCTGCTGTTTTTTGTGAACTCGTATCTTTTCTTTAGGCCCTGGTTGGCCGCATCGTCTGCCGCCTGTGGGTCGGCACTGTCCATTTTGCCGGCGGTGTCTTTGTAAAACAATGCTGTAGTAAGCTGAGATTTCATAGCATCGCTTCCATAGCTGAGCAGTGTTTCGAGTATGGCAAGATAAGGGTATGTGGGTGTGGAGGGGGAAATCAGACGCTCGTTCAAACTCACGTCAATCTGGCTGAACAGAGACTGTAGAAATAAATTGACGGGACCCACGTGGTCGGCCGCTGTCAGGTTGGAACCGTCCGCCTTGGTGATTTTGGCTCTGACGTACAGCTGGGTTTGGTTGAGATCCATGTATTCCTCTCCGGATCCCGGTACGAAAAATTCTATCGGTCCTCCATCAGAAATGGTAGAAATGGGATGAAATTCCTCCCATTGCGCCTTCTCAATACTCGTTTGCGTAGGTGGGATAGTAAAAATGTCAAGTTCGGATTTCGTGCATTCGCACGAGTTACTGTGCAACAGCGACATGATGACGGTTGTGTCTTAGCGCTAAAGCACTTAACCAAATATGTCTCGTGATCTCTTCGCTCTCCTGCTAGACGAGGAAGTGGCACGTCTGCCCTTTGCTTTCCTTTTTATACCGCGTTTTGGGGCTCGTGAAAGACTGGCATCCACGCTGCGTAAGGCCGTGTGAGCCAGATTACGTCCAGCACGCCCAAGTCTGTCTTTGGCCGATGACTTGATACTTTTACCCTCCAGTGCATCCTGCGCGATGCCGACGCCGGTGCGGAGAGCTTCGCGACCCACTGTTTTAACTCCTTGTTTGATCAGGGGCATGGCCGAGCGGAAAAGTCCGCCTAAGATTCCTCCAAGTCCATATCCCTTCTGATTTCTCGGTCCAGTGAACACCGGATGACCGCGCCCAACTTGTCCGACGTAATAATCCTCGTAGTGTTTGCTACTGGGTAGATAATGGCCCCTCATGATGGTTAGTTGAAGTAGGACGAGCGCTTTTTTCTAAAGTGAAGTTTCACAATGACTCTCCCGCTCACAAATGGAATGGGTAGGCCCGTGTCGTCCCTTATATCTATTTCGATCGTGTCTATCAACTTGTGCTTCAGTGGGCTGTAATGAGGACTGTCGTAGATTTTTGTAACAGTTTCTCCGTACTTGCCGTCCACATTCACGATGCGCAATAAGGGCGCCCGCGTGTCTCCCACGGTGTGGTACTCGACAATATTGGAGTAGATGAATAACGCGTAGAATGGTTTCAGATCCACTACTCTCTTACTTTTTTCAATTCCCGTCACAACCGTACCGTCGTCAAAGCCAAGCAAGTTTGCAAGACGACCCTGCAAGTTAAGTACCACGCTGTCTTCCGTCTTTATGATGACTTTTTGAATATATTTGCTGTACGTGAATCGAACTAGTCCACCGTGCTGGATGGAGGGTTCGAAACTCCTGAATAGTTCTACAGGTGTCGGATAATACCCCTCCGGTATGTGGTGAAAGTGAAATATGGAATCTGTGTCTCCGGCCGAGCACGCCAACAGGTTACCTTCGGTGACGTTCAACCAGCGATGAGGATAAATCACTTCAGCCAGGGCCACCTCCCAATCACCTTCAAACGACAAGGGTGATGGTAAATTCGCAAAGAAATGACTCAATGTGTTGTTAGGATAAGTGTCCATAGAACTGTTGCTAGGGAGCGTGACGTAAAAAGAGTCCGCCATGATGTAGCTGAGCTTTAATTGTGTTGGTAAGTGCTGACGTCAATGGGGTTTTATAACTTGTGCAGACTCGTCACCCAGCTGTTAAACTTGTCTGGGTATCCTAACCACTTGACAAAATACTCCGTTTGTCCTCGCTTTTTCCGCGTGTGTAGTACTTTCTCTACCTGGTAAAGATCGTCCAATTTAACCGCTCGTTGAAGTTCTTGCTCGTAGAACGTCCCGTCCAGCTCCTCGCCGTCGTAATCTTTCAACGTGTACACGGGAGGATGGCGCGGGATTCGAGCGCTGACCGTGAACAGTTCAGTGGTCCAGCTTGGAAGATATCCTTTTTTAAACGGTCTGGCCGCCATGCTGATGCGTACCGTGTCTCCCACACTGAACTTGTAGGAAACGGGTTTGACCGCATTACCGATAGTCTCGTATAGGGTTTTCCAAATAGTTTCGGCGTTGTCTTTATTTACCGAGGCTGGAGTGGTCCTTATGCTTCGGTGGTAAGCGTGGTTGTACGCCGTCATTAATTTCGGCAAAGCCTTGATGTACTTGTGGCTATTGGTGGCCGTGAAATATTTGTACATCTTTGTCTTGAGCGTCCTGTTGAATCTCTCCACCACGCTGGCTTTTGTCTCATTTTGGGTCGTGAAGAAACCGATTTTGTTGTTCTTCAGAAATGACGTACGACGTACCAAAACAAGTTGGTGTTTGAGCGATGTCACGGAAAAGAGTATGTTAATAATGTGTTGTTTTTTTTTCTTCTTACGTCTCGGACACGTCCGACCATGTACGACTCACTAATAATTGTACACCTAATGTCATAAAAACGATTAGGTATTAAAAACATGAGAACAAAATATTACTTTCTCCATCCAGACTAAAAATAACGATCCTATTCACTTCGACTAAGAGTTTTGTAGCAAGGTGATACGTATGCGACTACCAAATACATTCACCTACCAATATACACGACTCTGGCTTAAAATCATAGCGTGAATATTAACTACAAGTGACGGAAACATCGTGTCAACATTTGCCTAATACAACAACTAGGTACCGGCACTCGGATAAAAAGAGTTTCAGATAAAATATAAACATGTTTTCTTACCTCTACATCTTCTATCCCTTGCAAATGAGGCGGCGTCTCTGGGATAACTTGGGGTTCGTTGGATGGGCCAGCAAGTGCTTCATCCTCCATTCTTGCAATCAGGTCTAGCTGAGACTCCGTCGGATCAGGAGAAAATTGGTAGTACATGTCATCTTCGGGCAAAGCCATGACGGCAACACTAGCAAGCGTTGAATTGGCGACACAATCGGCGCGGACGGTTTATATAGCCACTGGGACCTTTGAAATCTCACGTCGGTGACCAAATTTGTTGACGTGTTAACTAGACCCACGCTACTAAGTATTTTCGAGAAAAAAAAAATAATAATAATAAAAATAAAGTGACGGCGTGGTGAAGCGACGCTACTTCAGAATTAATTACAGGGCGTCGTTCCTTCTAACTTGTATTGAGACATTACCATCTCACGGAGATCAAGTAAAGTTCCAATCCACTTTTGGAGCGTCAGTCCTTTCAAACTAAGGGAAGCTACCATCTTCTCGCGACGATTAAGCTGGAGTACAATTCCACTCCAGAGCGTCGGTCTTTCCAAACTAAAGGAAGATACCATCATCTCACGCAGATCAAGTAAAGTTACAATCACTTTCGTGGCGTCTGTCCTTTCAAACTAAAGAAGATTCCACCATCTCACGAAGATGAGATTGGCAACTTGAATAAAGACACCTCTCTCTCGAGTATACATTCAGCGAAGAATGAAAGAGGTTTTGCGAACAACAACCGATACATACGTCAGAGCTACCGGCAAGTCGTGTTAGTGTTCATTCGTTTTGAACGTACGCAGGACGGGCATTTACGTTTCAGCCAATGAAAAGCTTTGCTTGCCACGCTCCACCCACAGTTACCGCCCACCATGACCGTCTACTGCCTTACTTTTATTATTCAAATTGTTCGCTGCTTGTATTACTATTAATCATGATAGCGATGCAAGAGGATTCCAACTCGTTGAGCGGTACAAATATCAACATAACAAAACAACATTCTAAGTGGCAGGATCGGGAACAATAAAGTGGAGTTGTATAGTGCTGTACCTATAGGCGACATATGACGTGATGAAGAAATGCACTGGAAATGTTGTACATGTACGTGTATACGTGTATAGGACACTGTAGTGCACAACTCAAACTCATGTTGAAATCTTCCGACAAAGTTTGTCAACCATTTTCCTGTCAATAAAAGTAAATACAAACAAATGTCTGTTTCTTTGAAGCTCTATCGTATAATCTCCGATAAATAAAAACTGAAATTAACAAAATAAAAGACTTGTTATTAATTATATTACATGTATATATTATAAATAATTAATCATAAATAAAAATTGGAAGGACTTGCCGAAACTTGGGTCAGCTAAGTTTGTTGATTTGTAGTTTCAGGGCATTGTACTCTTTAAACAGTTTGCATACAAATATGTCTTTTTATTGGAGATTCAGTTAAGGTTAATTTTAAACGTAATGACCCAAACTTTTTTCTCAGCGTCGTTAAACATTGGTGATTTACTCTATAAAACTTTTGATTTACTCCATAAACCTCTTCTTTGTTTATAAACTTATGGCGATATGCATTTAAAACAAGTGCCCTCTCCTCATCATTGATATTTACACGGGCACATTTGTCGAACGTCCCCCATTTCGTGCCTCACTTTCGTCTTGCTTTCAGAGTGACAGTAGCCGACGGTGGCCTTTAGCTTTTACAGGCAAACAATGTACATGTATATGTCTTGTTAATCTGAATACTGACTGTACCCTGCGTAAGCATTTATAATCCTACGTACCGTTTTTATTGTTGTTCTAAGTAGCGCTCGTACCCTGCCTTAGCCTTATTATTTCCTTGCGTTCCGAGTGTATTGTTAATCTGAATACTGACTGTTCCCTACGTAAGCCTTTTTAATCCTACATAGTGTCTATTGTAGCGCTCGTACCCTGCCTAAGCCTTATTCTTTCCTTACGTTCCAAGTGTATTGTAAATCTGAATACTGACTGTACCCTACGTAAGCCCTTATAATAGTGTCTATTGTAGCGCTCGTACCCTGCCTTAGCCTTATTCTTTCCTTACGTTCCAAGTGTATTGTTAATCTGAATACTGACTGTACCCTACTAAGCCTTTATAATAGTGTCTATAGCACTCGTACCCTCATGGGCGTCGCGAGGGGGGGGGGGCAAGGGGGGCACTCCCCCCCCCCTGGAAAAGCAAAAAAAAAAAAATGAAGGAAAAAAAAAAAAAAAAAAAAAAAAGGGGCGCGAAGACAAAGTGGTGTAAATTTAATGAGTTGGGGGGGGGCAAAATGTCCCGTCCCCCCTCTTAAACTGATAAATCGAGAATGTGTTGAGAAATACAAGCATTTTTTGGCAAAAAAAATGTTTCCCCCCTCTAGAAAAAATCCTGGCGACGCCCATGCGTACCCTGCCTTAGCCTTTTTCTTTCCTTACGTTCTAAGTGTATTGTAAATCTGAATACTGACTGTATGCTGTACCCTACGTAAGCCTTCAGAATAGTTTCTATTGTAGCGCAATCTTGGCAAAGGTGCAGGCAAACAAAATATGCCCGTGCAGAGAAAACCCATAAACAGAGTGTTGAAATAATGCCAAAGAAAAGCCAGCTCTTCGTCCAGGAAAAAATCAGCAAGGGGTACACTTATCAATAACAGAAAGTAATAATATAGAAAGGAACTTGGTTGTGGCCACGGGATCCATGACTAAAGGCAGTATGTACAGTAGGCTTAAATGCTGAGAGGACTCCCTGCAGAGTGAATTCATATACCTGCACTAAACTAATTACGTGCGTATTCTGTTTGCTTTACCGACTAGATTTTGTTCAAAACACATCATGTACAATGTACATGTACATCATGTACAACGTAATGTACTTGCAAAATTGCTTCGATAGAGAGATTCAGCAGGCATTGTGTGAGACAGCTTTAATTGTAAGAGATCCTCTTTTGTTATTTAGATTTTTGTACCGCTCAACGAGTTGGAATCCTCTTGCATCGCTATCATGATTAATAGTAATACAAGCAGCGAACAATTTGAATAATAAAAGTAAGGCAGTAGACGGTCATGGTGGGCGGTAACTGTGGGTGGAGCGTGGCAAGCAAAGCTTTTCATTGGGTGAGACGTAAATGCCCGTCCTGCGTACGTTCAAAACGAATGAACACTATTAAAAACGTTTTCATAATGGACCCGTTGGCGCTGTCACTCGACTGACGTGAATCGACTTGTTCTTTTCGTTATGGTAACAAAACACCTGGGGATGAACAGGCGGATAATCCCTCTAACGAAGTTCCCGGTGAATAGGTTCATTACCATTATTCCTCATACAGCCGGACTTTGAGTAATGAAGTACCCGCACTGCCCGTGTGAATGTCTTCCCATCTATTGAAACATGATCACGGTGGCGCTGTCACTCGACTGACGTGAATCGACTTGTTCTTTTCGTTAATGGTAACAATACACTTGGGCATGAAGAAGCGGATAATCCCTCTAAGGAAGTTCCCGGTGAATAGGATCATTACCGTCATTTCTCATACAGCCGGTCTTTGAGTTAAGTAAGTACCCGCACTGCCCGTGGGAAAGTCTTCCCATCTGTTAAAACACGATCTAGACCGTATAACTATATGTATACAACAATTATTTATTTTACTTTGCTTTAACCCATCCACCCACCACTTTAAAAGTAATGTAAAAACACAATTTATTAAAAGTCTAACTTGTATTTATTAATTTAAATAAGTAAATTCACCCCGACATCGTCAAATGAATACACCACACACTTTCTGATTTTGTTTGCCCTACATCAATCATTTTATTTATTCATTTTTTGTTTCATTCAAACTTGGAACTTTACCCACCACCATTAATAACCAGTATTAACTTTTAGCTTTTGAAAATAAGTAACTACATTAGTTCAGGAGTAGACTATAACAACGGTGCTCCTTTCTTGCTTATTTCAAATGTTACTCGACGAGATTGATTGTGTACTGAACAAGTTCAGTGGTGTTATCGAAAAGCATCGTATAGAACGAAGTGCCAATATCTGATTGATCAGCCTTCCATTCGGTCAAAATGTCTGCAATGATCGGGTTTATCTCGGCGTTCAAGTCCACCCCTTCGCCGCTGAATGAACTAGCGCCCAAAAGGGCAGCTACTGCGTGAAACATAGGTAGAACCCTGCCCGTGTCTAGTGACTGGATTGCTTCATCGAAGTGCTCGTCCATGAAATCATCGATGCGGTTCTCAGGATTCACGCCGAAGAAGAGGCATGCGTGGTCCCATTGACTTGTCCAGTCCTCCTCGCATCCTTCACAGCCAAGTTGTTCTTGCGCACGGTAGACTAGCCGAAGTATCTCGTCCGTGATGAGCTTAGTCAAGATTCGCTTGGTGAGTCTTCTTGCCCGTGCCCGTCGATCGACAATGTCCTGATTCGTAGACTCTGTAGTGAAATTAAGAAAAAAGAAACGGAAAGAGTAAGCGTTGAGATACTGTGATGATTTAGACCATGTCTATGGCTTCGTTGATAGCCTTGCTCCGATCGGACAAATTCATCCATTCCTCTGCCGTGAGGTTCAGCCCCTTTTTTCCTGGCAGTAGTTTAGTTTTGTCTTCGTTGAAGTAGTATTCTCGTAGGTTAACGTACACGTGACCCTTGAAGCGCTTGACATAAACATAACGCTCACCTCCAATGTGGAATCTAACGGCGTTCCTGTCGTTCTCTTCCTGCTCGGGGTCCGGGCTGAACTTTCTCTTCTTGCCGGGTTTTCCCTTGATGAACGGGGGTTCGGCGAGTTTCATGGGTGGTTTGCCGGACAGCTCTGCCATGGCAGCTGCCAGCAAGTCCGGTGCAGGCCCGGAGTCCGCCTGACTCTCCTCCTGTTGAGCTGGTTGGACGGTAGGTATGGCCCACAGGCTCTCTCGGGTGAAAACGTTGTAATAATACGGTCTCTTCTCACTTGCGCTGTAAGCTTCGCGCCAGCCTCTTTTCACCTGGGTGTGAGTTAACTTTTTCACACACTCAAACGGCCCATTTTCTAAACCAATGGATGGCGAAGATGGAGGTACGATTGGTCCTGGATCCATCTCTTTTAGAGGGCAAATTTGTTTGATTTTGCGTGCAGAAAATTGCGTTATCTTGCAGAGAATTCGATGTCTTCAGTGGCAGGCAGACGAATGACCATCAAAAAACAAACGCTCCGACTTTTATACGCAGTCCTCTCGTATCCACAACAATCCATTATATTACGTTGCGGGTTTTAACTTGTCCGAAGCATCTCTATTCATTACGGGTTATTCCCATTGTTCCCTCCGGGCTTGTCCGAACTTGTTTGTGACGTCACATCTACGACGTCTTCTGTTGCTGTCTTTGACTCGCCCGAGTCTACCTGTCACGTCATGTACCCAAACGTCTTCTACTTAACACACTCAGACGTGTCTATATTTAGAAACATATACATTTATCTTCCAATCACCATCGACTGTATAATTTAAATTAACCAATCGGCATTAAGCGTACTATTTGAATTAACCAATCAGATTTGAAACTTATCCCCACTCCGTTCGGTTCACTAGCGCGAGCTCACCATCGCCACTAACGTGGCTCGGTATATGAGGCCCTGCTCGCGACTTCGTCGCTCGCACGCAACCCTCGAGACAAGTCTCCAGGCTTGCGCTACTGCCCACTCCGTTCGGGTTCACTAGCGTGAGCTCACCGTCGCCACTAACGTGGCTCGGTATATGAAGCCCTGCTTGCGACTTCGTCGCTACCACGGTACCCGCACCACTTCCACCAACCCGCACCACCCGCACCACCCGCACCACCCGCACCACCCGCACCACCCGCACCACCCGCACCACCTGCACCCACCCTCCGAGTAGCACCACAAATAGGGGTCCCATCGACGCCTCCTATACTACTAACATGATACAAAAAAATGTGTGTATGCTAAGTAAAATGCTTGCGTAATTAAATCTTCAGACTCGTTCAAACCAAGTATAACAACTACAAATGAAATGCCAAACAATATACTAGCAATACTGTAACTCCGGCTGCACTGTGTTTCATTGGGACAGCTTCTCGTCTCAGGCGTGCTACAAATACGACTGTGCTTTTTGAACAAACAATTTACGATATCGGATCAAAATTCAGGGTATTTCTGTTAGGCATTGACACTGGCTTCTAAATAACTCTACAGGGTATCGAAGTGTGACGTCATTTTGAACCGGGAAGTGTAGCGCAAACAAATGGAGTACGCGCGCGTGTTGGTCCACGGGCTGAATCACGCGTTAATGTCTTTTTTACACACACTGGTGCAGTGCCCGTCTAAAATGTGCATGTTCGGGAAGTGCAAATTGCTTTGCCGCTGGTATTGGTTGCATACTTGTAGAGTTTTTGAGAACTGCTCGTGCAAACAACGCACGCGATTCAATGGTCACAGGTTGAACGCACACTCACGTCAAAGTTTGTGCCAAGTTTGAAGTTGTTTGGGCGAGTGGTTCTCGAAAAAGCTGCAAAAAAGGCGAAGATATTCACCTCTACTGGACAATGGTAACGCCTTGCAGTAAGGTTGCTCAGTCGACCGCCTACAATGGTTGCTCAAATGCATGTGCCCGTGAAGCCACTCACGTACGTGTACATAGGTAAACATGGCATGCAGTGTTATTCACCTATACTGGACAATCGTATCGCCCTACAATACACACGCGCGTGCCCGCCACCTTCTTTTTTGCCAGTGTTTGCGTGGGCGTGATGTATTCACTTCGGTACCCAATACCGCTTGAGATGAACCCAAAAGTAGCCGGTGTCATAATGAAATCTGGACTTTTATATCTTACATGGATTCTAACCCTCACACGTGACCTATTACTGTCCTAATAAGCTTCACTTAGGCATGCGCAATACAACCGATGTGCCCATACTTCAAACAGTCCAAATTTCACACTACAACGGCATATATTTCTTACTGCACATACGCACAATGCGTTTACAGGGATCAACCCACAAAGTTCAGGCCAGATTCGACAAATCCGGCTCAGATTTGATCTGATACTATAATGGCGCTTTTTCGGGTCAAATGGCCAAGAAAGGTGACTCGGAGTCGAAGAAGTGTCATTTTGACACAGAAAAGTATTAGGTCAAATTTGACCAGGAATCCGGATCAGATTTGACTTGATACTCTTCTAGCGCCTTTTTTCGGGTCAAATGGCCAAGAAAGGTGACTCGGAGAAGTGTCATTTTGACACGGAAAAGTGTTAGGTCAAATTTGACCCGAAATCCGGATCAGATTTGACCTGATTCTCTTCTGGCGCGTTTTTTTTTTCGGGTCAAATGGCCAAGAAAGGTGGCTCGGATATGTGCCATTTTGACACGGTCAAATTTGACCCATATTTGGGTCGAATCTTACCCCGGACCTTTAAGAGTGTAGGTCTATAGCTGAAATACAGGGGAATCATAGAGCTATATTAAATTAATATAGCTCTATGGGGGAATAGACAAAAGCTCTGAGAATAAAACAAACATGTTTTTGCACTTTGAACGTTAGTATTAACCTATAAAACACAGTGTATAGTTCTGCTAAATCCTGCGATTTGTTCTACCGTCACCCGTCGGGATGAATGTGCAGACAAGTAGTAATTTTACGAGAACAGCTTGTAAGATGGTCGGTTGCCAAAAACTGGTTCCTCGGTAAACGACTGCGAATTTAGAAAAAGGAAAATTTTAAAAACGGTGCATTAACAGCCATCCGTTCTTGTACCGCTATTCTGCAGTAAAGCTATCAAGTCAGCTAACCTCGTGAAGCTATAATGGTGCAAGTACCCTGAAAAAACTGTGTTTAAAGTTTGAACACATTTCTCAACACGTAATACATGTAATATCCAGTTTTCACGTGTTTTAATCCGCGCAATGTTTACACTTGTGGATGTATGTGGCATGTTAAGGCATCGTACGAAAGCCTGTTATTATACCGCCAACTATAATTATAGATGTAAACACAAATGCCTTACAGGATTCAAGTCGAAAGACAGGGTTAATACAGACTTGCCTCTCTCTTTTTATCACCAAAATGTCTCAAAAATTTACTTGAAGATAAGGCCAAAAAAAAGTCTCCGGTTTCTGGTATGGAGCTTGCCCAAAAAGTGGTGCGGCGACTTTCTTTTTTGCTTCAAATGTTGGCTGATGACTGCAAATGGTGCCCGACTAAACTTAGTGCAAATGTATGGGAGTCCGGAGAGGCCACATAAAGCTTAATGTCGATCATAACCCCATCTAAAAACACGTTAAAATTGTGCAGCAGCAGGATTCCAGTCAAACCAGTGAGTTTGGCGGTTTTGAGACATCATCTTTGATTGAAAAAAAAACTTTTTCATTTTGCCGACGCGCATGGCTACGGCGACGCGCGCGCATACCAGAAACCGGAGACTTTTTTTTTGGGCCTGATAGGGGACTTGTTACAATTTATTCCTGATGACTAAAACATGTATCAAAGACCATTTGCATCTGACGTCACATCTGAGGACAGGTCTTTATTGCGCTCGTGATACAGTTGAGTACAGAGATATTTTGCGTTACATACTTAAGTGGACATTGCTTTGTTCTCGTGTAGTTACGAAATAACAAGTTTAAAAACATTGACACGTGCTGCAAAGAGTTTTTGAAAGTGAATTTTTGACCTTACTTTCCCTCAATAATTAATTTACTTCAATTTGCTATAAATAACCCTTAACCAAACATGCCTCTAACACTGTTTTTTTTTCGAAAGTGGAAAACACTGTGTCACGACCTGTGCGAGTCCACAAAACAGTTCTTGCAACATGTGGAGGCTCATTTGTTCACTGGTCGAAGTCCCCAAAGTGAATTGCAATGCCCGTACACCAGTTTGTACCTGTATTTGCCCACATTGTCTAACTGTGCATGGTCTTGAACAGCTGCAGCCAGATGCTTTATACATAGGCCATAATTCACAAGATTATGTGAAGCTCATCCGAGTATCCCAGCGCCTTGTTTGCAGGGCGGTGGGATAAGGGCGCACCGTGCAATTAAGGGGTCTATTTGTGATGAGCAATGTTATATTCGCCTTACCTTCGGGCAGTAGTCAGGCACCGTGAAGTATTTGGACGGGTTCTTGATTCCCTGGCTGTAGTTGTAAAACCCAGTCACGGCAAGGAGAGCAGCTATACAAAAATATAACCAATAGTATTTATGTCTGAAGGCCTGATAAACTAAACGGGAAAAGTCCAAAATGGCGGCTATTGCACCGTTCACGTGATACTGTCACGTGGATGCAAATCCTTAATAGTTGAGCTATATTGCGAATCTCCCAAATGTATGAAATATTATTTCTAAACTTAAATGAAGAAGGACACTTAATATATCTATCCATATCTTCCCCGATTGGATTACAATGTGTTTAATTTAGAAGTAGGGGGCAGACCTGAAGGCCCAGAATTGCCTACGCAGACCAAATCACGATTTGTATGCTCTAAATTGTTGTATTATTAGAGCATTTTGTGGACCATGAACTTGAAGGTTTGTTATAAAAAGGGGCGCTGAAGCCGTGCAAAGGACTGCGAGCTCGTATTTTTGTGAAATTTTGATGAAATTGGGCCCGAAAATTGCTCTATTTTGCAATGGAGTGCATGAAACTTTTTTTTTTTTCAAAATGGCAATGGGCCACAGGACTCCTTTTAGGGGTGATAATGTTTGGATGGAATCTTCTCCCAAAAGTCATCGGATGGCCACCCATAACAGAAAATGAAAGATGATGAAATAAGCTTTAATTTGATAGGTGTCTCAAATACCTCGGAGAGTTGTGAGTATTTTAAATAAATTTTGGAAGTAAGCGTAATTTTCACTGAAGTCTCATGGGAGTCGATCTGCACCACATGGTACCCGTCGTTTCGGTGTTCTGAGAGAATGGGTTGTGCTTACTTTCTCCAAACTGTCCAATCACGTTGAAGCTATTTGGAATGCAATCGGTTTTGGAGACAGACAGCGAAGCTGTGCCAGTCTTGAAGGATATGCCGAACGAGTCAACAGTCAACTTATGGTCGCCCAGGTAGACAGTTTCCTGGTATGTAGCATTGTCTGTAGATAGACGAAGAAGAAAAACGTTATTCGGATCAAATGGGTTTTCGAGAACAGCACTTACAATATATGAGCACCAATATGATTAACAGATTATGGCCATGCAACGCCACGAAGGCAGTTTCGTTTAACAATTCCAAGATGCCTAAAACAATGAGGGCGCTATAAAGACACTAGGTTTGTTGACAGTGTGTGCAGTGTCCAGGCCTAGTGTTTAACTTGTAAACGCTTTTTGCAGTAGTTTGCATGATGAATCCGACTCAAGTTTAGACGCGTTACAATAAATAATTTATGTTAGTAAACTCTTGCAAGAAAGCCATTTTATAATGTGTTTAACAGTTAGACACTTTCAACTGCAGAGATGAATCAATGCAAATATTCATTTGATCTGGCTCGAATCTACGGAAGCTTAACCTTGCGCAGCGTTTACAAAAAAAACTTTACAACTCGTCAACTGCTGCCCTCTGGGCAGCAGGTACTTTCCCGCACTACGCAAGACCCTATTCATAGCAATACAACAAAAAGCCACGTGCCAGACAGTGTCCAGAGAGTTGCCAGACAGTGCGCTGGAAAGATAATTGACTGGCGGCTGTGGTATGCAGTTGTATGCAGTTATGAAGAAAGATGGCTGTGTCAAGTTACAGGTCTTTGTTGATGTTTCAATGAGACTTGGCAGGAGGCCTGGTCGAAAGTTTGTTGACACAGCCTGGGTGAAGCCCTGGCTGCAAAGTTCATTGAATCAGCTTATTTGGCAAGGGTCGAATGAGGATTAGATGGAAGGTGACCGTCATTGGCCCTCAATTTTTGGGTTTTTTTTTCCAAAAAAATCGGTTACCTGGGGCCAAAAGGGCAACAGGTCACTCTGCGCAGGGTTAACTTGCCCATTCGCGACTCCGCTTTTTCTTGATAAATTATCAGGAAGTGTCCAACTGAGACGACTTTCCTAGATCAGGGAAAGATGACCTCCGAGATAAGATATTACAGAAGTCTTTCTGAGAATGAAAGACGTCTTTCGGAAAGTACGGACGGGAGTAAAAACTCCGCATTTCCGTGATAAATATCCGTTTTAATGCCGCATGCATCACATGGTACTTACACGTGACACAGACATCACGTGGTACTTACCAGGAACACAGTGTAGCATGGGTCCGGGTACAGGCATCTTCTGGCATTGCTTGGTCTTCAGATCAATGCTGTATCCAACGCCCTTTGTGATGGAAAGAATCAATTTCGCAAATTATGTAAATTAAAAACGCACGGATTTTCGGGAATGTGGTGACAGCATTGGTCGAAAACTACAAATGGTACTTAATAGTATTGCTTGCACACAGATTTGTTTATACACATCAATGGTTTAAAAAGAAAATGTTTGTGTTATAATCAGAAATTGCATGGAGTGTCATGGCCTAGCGGTTAAGAGCACCGGACTCATGCTCTGGTGTTTCAGAGGCAACAGTGGCGTGGGTTTGAGCCCGCTGGGTGGACACTATGCCCTTGAGCAAGGCACTTATAACCATTATAGGCGTAAAGCCATAGGTCCCGTTAAAGAACCCAGTGATACTTATCGCTATGAGAAGGGGTTTGCCCTGGCTTTTCTGGTCTTCTGTATGAACTCCCACGTGGAGTATTTAGGAGATGAACCAACCACGAACCAAGAGTAACGAAGGGAGTTGGGGTGCGAGCCCCCGTCACCAAAAAGGAACAGCGCTAGCGTCCCCTAGCGTCAAATGATGTCAATTAAGCTGATGATGTCAATTGAGCAAATTGTGAATTAAGCGTGTCTAAAAAGCCCCCCCCCCCCTTATAAAAAACGCATCGCCGCATCAATTCTGGAACTTTGGTTTGACTCACGCGATAACCCAATATCACCCACGGCCGAACTTGTCAGAACAACGTCTAGGGAAATTCGTATTGGTTGTGTAATGCGCGCGCACCTGTTTTACCTAATATATGCAGCGCGCAATTAAAAAAAATATATATAGCATAGCTTCGAAGCAAACTCTAAAATTTCTTCCAATGTAATAAAAGATGCAGCAAGACCTTTGCAACTTCACTGGTTAGCTCTTTTGTTTTTAATAAGTGTGTGTAGGACTGAAAATGGACCGTAATTACCTGCAGAAGTAGCGCATGCGCACTAGTTTCCCCATTTTTTTCGGGGGAAAGATTTTAGCAGTTTCCACTGACAAGTTACACTGACAAGTGGGAGTTATTGGTTGGTCGTGACAGCGCCCTCTCGCGGCGGCGAGTTATCGCGTATCACTAAATCATTAGCAACGGCTAGTTGGACATGCTAAAATCGGCATACATGTAATATGTCATTTCAACTGATAAAGCTATGACCAGATGAATTCAATGCATGGCAACAAAACATAAACCGTCTTCATAATCTAAAGGCACGTGTCGGGGACGTGCAGGCTTTGCTCTCTAAATGCCGACATGCACTACTGTCAACAAAATGGAAAATTCCTTAAGGCGAAGTAAAACAAAAAACATGTTTCTCATCCCCGCCCGCTTTCTTTTTGGAAGCCGCCTGAAATTTGTTTTATTATTTTTTATTTTTGAAAAATGCAGTAATAAAAACCACCGAAAAAGTCCATGGTTAAAGTAAATGCATCTAAAACTGTTCATTGTATACTAATACAACCAATGAACAGTGGAAACACCAACGGTTGCAGGAAATTTTAAAATGGCGGCCATCTTAAGAAAATAAATAAATAAATAAAAAGCCCCTCTTCGTCTTTTTTTTTCAAAAACCTGGACGAGAAACATGTTGTTTTTTTTATTCGGCCTTAACTTAGACAAACTCTTTTGGGCTCTCTTCTTTGCTAAAAATACAGACATGAATGAAATTAGAAGACGAGGAAATCAAGGGATGAAGCCGATAAGCTAGAGAGAGGTGGCCATGTCCCTGTTAGCACAGAAAATTATAGTCTCCAAAATCGCTGTCGAAAACATTTTGATATGCTTTGCACGGTTTTCCGTACCCTTAATTACCTTGTTGTAGTCGAGGATGACTTGAACTTGGCTGGCTTCCCCGTCAATTATTACTGTGCCGATCTCGCCGATACGCTTGTTGGTGTAGTCAAAGGCGAGGCGCACACTTTCAAATACGGCCGAGCCCTTTCCAGCTTGACTCATCCCAACCTCTACGCCTGCACGGATACAGCAAGTGTGAAACGAATGAACTTGAAACCCACTCAGTGCTTAATATCATGTATGTCAGAGTGTATCCAAGCGACAATATGCAAGCATTCGTGAACTTCAGTTTCCTTCTTTTTTTTTCTTTCCATTTTTAGTAACATTTATTCCACAGCAAATAACCACAACATAATACAGGGTGAGTAAAAAAAAAAACGAAACCCAAATGTCGGGACTATTGTTTAGTGAAGTTCTGCATATGTAGTTTTTTTTCAAAATCTAGGATTATATAAGCCCGAATCATAAGCTATCTTTTAGTACAAGAATCATTCAAATCACTCGTACTTTTCAAGTTACGGAATTTTAAATACTACCACCGTTTTAAAGTTCTGTCCACTGTGTTTAAAATTTCGTAACTTGAGAAGTACACAAGTTGTTTGAATGATTCCTGTACTAAAAGAATACTTATGAATTGGGCCTTCATATCCTAGATTTTGAAAGTGACACATTCAAAATTTCGCTAAAACAATAGTCTCGACAATTGGGCTCCGCTTTTTTGGCTCACCCTGTAGAAAAAATCCTGATGAGATGAAGGTACGATATGGAGAGCTTAATTGTAGCATGCCTTGATACATACCTCACAACACATTGAAACTCGATAAATACATTGAGACAATAAAATGAAGGCTTAAAAGATCGCAAAGAATTGACGTTCAATGTACATGGTAAGTTACAAGAAATTGACCGAATGATTTTTTCTTTTCTTAAAACAAGCACAGAATTCAAGTTTGAAACACTTTAGGACGTATAGTATCTGAAAAAAAGCAGCTTCCACTTAGCTCGAAAGAAAAATTACTAAAACTGATCTATATCCGTTACCCATATTTGTAGCTGTTCATAAATGTCATAAGAAGCTATATTTAGCAGAGGCACGCACGCATTCAATTGCAACTGAGATTTTAATCATTTGAATAAAGGCTGAAACATTCATTAAATTTGCTGTCAAAATTTTTGTCTTGCATATACGAGGAACAATTAAGTCAACTACTTTTTCCCGAAATGTTAATGGCGCGATTGGGCCAGACTCGAGTCCACGAATCCCGCTGCGGGGGGGGGGGGGGGGGGGGGGGGGGGGGATTGCCACACCTCCTCCACAGCGAGTCCTTTACCTTCCTAGCATATCGGTACCCATGATTTAACGCCTATGGGTTGAGAGGAGTGGCCTTACTCAAGGGCACAACACGCATCACGGCAGGGCTCGGAACCCACAATCTCACGATCATGAATCATATGCTCCAGCTACGGCTAGACCACTTTCTTTCCGACCCACCCTGCATGATGCAATTAACCCATTCCATGAACTTACCCTCATTCATTTCAAATTGATCAGGGCAGCAGCACTTTGTCTGAGCGTAGCTCGTTGCCACCACAACCAGCAGAAGAAACACAACCGACTTGATGCTCATGTTGTATATACGACGAATTGCCTGGCCGGATTTGCGGATAGAAATGAAACTCCTCTTGTGCTCTTATTATCTGCGTCGATTCGAAGCTGACACGAATTTAGCAAGGGGCCAGCATTTTATAGACTTCACAATGCACCGTCCCGACCATGTGACCTGTTAATATAGGTAAACAGTGTCCCGTGGTCATGATCAATCATTACCTGCTGACGTCATATGCCAAATAAAGGATATTTCGTACAAGACGGAACAATGTCGGTCTCGACCTTTTCTGCATCATAACCTTGCGTCAGCCAGCATTTTTAACACGTACTCGAACAGTGCAGACACGGTCATAAGTGTATGATTGCACGGGGTTTTATGTGTCCAGGATCATGGGCGTCGCCAGGATTGTTTTCTAGAGGGGGGCAAAACATTTTTCTCAAAAAATTCCTGTTTTTCTCAACATATTCTTGATTTATCAGCTTTAGAGGGGGGCTATGGACATTTTGCCCCCCCCCCCACTAATTAAATTTGAACCAATTATAACTGCGCGCCTCTTTTTCTTTCTTTTTTTGCTTTTTTTTTTTTGCTTTTCCAGGCCCCCCCCCCCCCCCCTCCCCCCCCCCCCCCCCCCCCTCGCGACGCCCATGTCCAGGATGTTGACCAGGATTAACCAGTTGTGTTTCACATGAAGCTTTGACATTTCTGGTTCGAGTTGGATTCTACGAAAGCCCATTAGCGCCACTGCAAGTATATATGTTACAGATTATGTAATTCGTTATTACGGATTATTAATTCGTTATAACGGATTATTTAATTCGTTATTACGGATTATTAATTCGTTATTACGGATTATTAATTCGTTATTATGGATTATTAATTCGTTATTACGGATTACTAATTCGTTATTACGGATTATTAATTCGTTATTACGGATTATTAATTCGTTATTACGGATTATTAATTCGTTATAACGGATTATTTAATTCGTTATTACGGATTATTAATTCGTTATTACGGATTATTTAATCCGTTATTACGGATTATTAATTCGTTATTACGGATTATTAATTCGTTATTACGAATTAGGTCTGAAGTTCTCACACGTGGAGAGCACGTGACCAGGGGCCTGTGTATATAGCGCCGCTAGGCGGCGCTATCTTTGCATACAACGTTTGCACTCCTGTGCCATACTTGCCGAGTAATGACTCAGAACGTATGAGTAATTCGTAATAACGAATTAAATAGTTCGTAATAACGAATTAATAATCCGTAATAACGAATTAGTAATCCGTAATAACGAATTAAATAATCCGTTATAACGAATTAGTAATCCGTAATAACGAATTAAATAATCCGTAATAACGAATTAATAATCCGTAATAACGAATTAATAATCCGTAATAACGAATTAATAATCCGTAATAACGAATTAAATAATCCGTTATAACGAATTAGTAATCCGTAATAACGAATTAAATAATCCGTAATAACGAATTAATAATCCGTAATAACGAATTAATAATCCGTAATAACGAATTAGTAATCCGTAATAACGAATTAAATAATCCGTAATAACGAATTAATAATCCGTAATAACGAATTAATAATCCGTAATAACGAATTAAATAATCCGTTATAACGAATTAGTAATCCGTAATAACGAATTAAATAATCCGTAATAACGAATTAATAATCCGTAATAACGAATTAATAATCCGTAATAACGAATTAAATAATCCGCAACATATATACTTGCAGTGGCGCTAATGGGCTTTCGTAGGATTCTCCGTTGAGCTGTGACATACGAGTACACTAGCTCTCAACAATCTGCTGAAAACTTGAAGTCGAACAACAGCCACAACAAATAGAACAATCTGAATTTGGCCTATAGACCGCTCGCAGACGAATGTAAAACTATTCTACTTTCTTTACTGCTCTACTTTATTTCTATAGTCTTTCAAGTAGGACATTTGTCTTTGATATTTTAACGGTTATCTAACTTCGCTCGGTTTTTGTTCATCCTGAATATGTTTTTCATTGGCAGACCTTCACAACAGGTGCTGTAATTTTGATCAATGTATGGATTTGACGGTTAGTATTTTATGGTGGTTATGGATGCCGGTAACATTTCACAGGATACTTGAGAATATTCACTTGAAGTCAAATAACGTATAATTCATAATAAATTGGTCTTTCCTTTTTTTTTCATAATTACTTACACATGTATATTAAGGGCTACCTGTAAAAAACGTGTCCCCTGAAGACGAATCCACGGTGTCCGTAACTTTTGATTTTGGCCATCATAGTAAAATTATTAATAAATCTGAAGTTTCAAAAAGTGCGCAATGTTTCTTGATCATTATTTTTAAATTGTCTTTAGTTCCTTTCTTTGTACATGTATATATTCTCTTTTTAGGGGAAGGAGCCTGGGGCAGGAGAAAGAGCTGCGTCAAATTTTAGTTCAAATAAAAATATATAAATGCAAGATGGAACATAAGATTATACGTCTTCTCCTTGTTTTTTTTTATTTTGTTAGTCGGACATTTGCAGTTGAACTAGTTCTGGTAACGGTTTGTACTTTTGTTTATTCTGCTGATTTAAGTGTTAAACAAGGTATGCGAGATACTTGGCTGACAAACAATTTTTCCCCATTTGGAGACGATCTTTGATAACTTTTTGGCTGCAAACTTGACATGTGATATGCCCCATGACTGGATCGTAGCTCGGTTTAATTGTTTATATTTAATTTAGCCCTTGTCCTCCTTGATTCATTTCCCCCACTGTCCACTCTTAGTTGAATCCTTGAACTAAGAGAAACAAGGGGAGATATTTCAAGGTTTCGGCAGGGAGAAGGAAAACCCTGATGAGCAAAAACCCAAGGTACAACGGATCATTTTCTTTTTGTGCATATATTTTTTTTTCGATTGAAGCAACACAATTGGCCAAATTCGGATGCACAACTAAGGCCAAAAAAAAAGTCTCCGGTTTCTGGTATGGAGCTTGTCCAAAAAGTGGTGCGGCGACGCGGCTTTTTTTTTCTTTTTTTTTACCTGATTTTTTTTGCTTCAAATGTCGGCTGATGACTGCAAATGGTGCCCGACTAAACTTAGTGCAAATATATGGGAGTCCAGAGAGGCCACATAAAGCTTATTCTCGATCATAACCCCATCTAAAAACACGTTAAAATTGTGCAGCAGCAGGATTCCAGTCCAACCAGTGAGTTTGGCGGTTTTGAGACATCATCTTTCATTGAAAAAAAAACTTTTTCATTTTGCCGACGCGCATGGCTACGGCGACGCGCGCGCATACCAGAAACTGGAGACTTTTTTTTTTGGCCTAACCCGAGGAAGTTGCAACTCTGTGGCTTCCATAAATTTTGAAGAAAAAACATCATCATATGCACAATGCTTTTGGTCTCGTGACTAGTTGCTTATCGGAAGTGTCCCACGACCAACTGCAAAACTGCCATGATGCAATCCAGCAGAGCAATTTCACAAGGTATTTGGGACAAACCCTGTCGTTACTTAGAGCAAACTTTTTCTCAAAATTAAATTCGTTGTTACAAATATTTTATCAAGATGTCTTTTTTATTCGTTATATGCTGTATTGTTTAAAAAAAAAAGGGTACAAATTAGTACTTGAGTGAGATTTGCAATATTGCTACATTAAAGGTAGTGAACACCACTTGCAAACGGTCAAAAGTGAAACTGTCAAAATATCATGAAATATCTAACTTGGTTGTAATAAATAATAGGATCAAGCCTCCTGTGAAATACTTGGCATGCTGTAATTTTGGAAAAAAAAAAAAAATTACCATCATTTTCTTGCGATGGTTAGGACCAAACCACATCACTGACAATGGAAACCTATGCTTTGCTTTTAGAGAAATGAAGATGCGTTTTCGAAATTGTCACAAAAAGTGCGATATCTAATGAGCTAAATTTTAGACGGGTTAATTTTTTAATTACCTGCTTCAGTTTTATAACGTTGTTCCTTGAATTTTCTCAAAAAGCTCCAGATTTTTTTGCAGATGGTGTCCAATACTTTTAAAACGTGATGTTTAGATTCCTTTGAAAACTTGAGTATATATCCAATCACATACCAAAAAGACACTTTAAAAGTTACTGATACAAAATACCAACAATGTTTTATAGTATATGAAAATCATTTTTTTTTTAAACCCTCAATTACAGATAGTCTGATGTACATGCACAAAATTACTGTATCACCAAATATGCTATGATTACAAATATTGGGTGTATGTGAGATTTTCAAAACAAACCTACATGTAGTCATGACTGAGGTAAGACTCTTTTTCTCTGCAATGTTTGCAATATTTGCAAAGTGGAAAAGTTAACAAATTCATTGTCGAAAAATCAAGACAATCACAACTGCATTTGGCCTATACATGTACTATACTACAAATCCCACTGTAGGTAAAAGTGCAAAATATACAAATAGGAGACGGATGGGAGATGGATGGTTTTATAAACTCCAAAATATTCGCTTGTTAAACTGCCCATTCTCGGTTTCTTAAAATCAGGCTTTCGGGGGGGGGGGGGGGGAATGAACGTAACTTGCTCCTTCACGTTCAAAAGAATCGGTGGATGAACGAGTTGTACTGCCTGGGTTCTGGACTGGACGCCTGCTGAAAAAACACACAAGGAACAAAATTTACATTAAAGGGACACGTACACACAACCTGACACAAAGAAAAAAAATTACATTAAAGAGCCATGTACATACAAGGAACAAAATTTACATTAAAGGGCCATGTACATACAAGGAACAAAATTTACATTAAAGGTCCATGTACTTTATCTCCCGGTCCCAGAGGACCTTCCTAGTGCCCGCTGTGTACCTTGCTGACTCACTGACTCAATTACTGACTCATAAACTGACTGACTGACTGACAGTGGATGGAAGATGGGTGAAGCGAGTCAGGCAGTGCTATCGTACAGGATTACCCAGAATCGCCAATTAATGAGTTAAATCAGACCCATTGAGTATGACAATAAAAACTTGGGAGGCTAATCATCTTTACACTCGCAGCTGAGAAGCTGAATTGCGAAGGACGCGGCTACAAGGTGGTCGAATTGAAGGCATTTAAAGGTGCCATATAGGCTGCCGCCATAGGACCCATGTATGACCACAGAGCACAGCCAGAGATCAAAAGTGTTTGATTTTTTTCAAAGGGAGGAAAACCAGAGAGCCCGGAGAAAACCCTCGTGGCACAGGAGAGAACCAACGCACAACTCTACTCACATGTGGTCCGAGCTGGGAATCAAACCCGGACCACAGTGGTGAGAAGCAAGCGCTTTAAGCACTAGCCACCCATGCCAGAATTCCTGTGAATAGCCGTTCTGAATCCATTCAATAGAATTGTCTTTTTTTCATACTGCCATTTATCATGTTAATGGGCATTTCAGGGGCTTTGCAGTTTTTGGAGCCTATGTAGAGTTTGGCTGCTACACATTTCCACATTTATCATGTTTATGCGCAAAAATGATGTCATCTTAGGCAGTAACTTCAGTATTTCAGCAGCTTCAACATCAAATGTTTGCTATAATGATCTCCTTTTTTTCAGGGGATGTACTTTTGCTGATTAGTACATGACATCCAGCCACTGAGCAAACTTATGCACAAATGTTTTCTGAGAGTTACACATACATTGTACACTGTGGGTGCAAAATCCCTTTTAACTGTTGAGTGTGTTCCTAAAGCAACAGCCTCCTCACTTGTCAGGAAACAATTAAAACTTGTCATTAAGGACAATTCCACTTGAAAAAAAATGTCAACCCAAGAGGTAAGTCTTGCAGGGTTGGACCTTAACTTTTTTTTTCTCTAGCCAGTTGGGCAACTGCAACAGACTCTTAACTAGCCCGCGGGCATTTTCACTAGCCCGCAATTTTTTTCTTTGATACAGGTTTGCTTTCTGAACTGAAAGATTTATTTCTTCCTTTCAGTGTTGCCGTAGCCCAATAATTGTTGACTCGCCAGCCGGGCTACTTAAGGAATAGTTTGACTAGCCCGCCGCTGTTTTGACTAGCATTTGGCTAGCGGGCTACTGCTATTAAATTTGAACCCTGAAAACTTGTGAAATGTTAGGCTTGGTGTGACTCTATCTGGGTGTTATTCATGCATGATTATTGAATCTGAAAAAGGGGTAAATCCAGGATTCCCCCGAGGGTGGTTGCTGGGGTGCTGAAGTCCATGATTATTTCATGGGGTGGGGGAAGATGGGGCGATGCATACAATAAAGACCAAAGGCCTGAAGAAAAAGTCAGGATTTGCAATACTGAGTGATGACATTCAGGGTACTTAAGGACTTTTTTCCCCAAGTTATATAAATAACTAAACATTGGTTTGTCAATGGGGGGGGGGGGGGAGGAGTAGTTAGCTACACTGCCCCCCCCCCCCAATCCGCCCTTGCTGGAGGGATGAAATTCAATGTAAGTGAGTCTCACCTGAGAGCAGTAGTCAGGAATGGTGAAGTACTTGGCAGGGTTTTGGATTCCATAGGTGTAGTTGACAAAGCCAGCGACCTCAAGGACTGGTGCTGGACAGACCAAGGGGGACAGAGAGGGGGAGAATAAGCTGAGATCATCAAGTCAATCAAAGGTTCATCGATAGAAAGCCAAGTCACAAACCATTCTCAAGTCTATCAGAAGCCGATCGCAAGTCAATCACAAGTCTTTGGCAAGTCAATTACAAGTCAATCACATGTCAATCACAATTCAATCGCAAGTCAATCCCAATTCAATCGCAAGTCAATCACAAGTCAATGCCAAGTCAATGCCAAGCCAGTGTTGTAGTACTCGTACTCGGTACTTGTACTCGAGTACTACTCGAGTACTTTTTTGTAGTACTCGTACTCGTATTCGAATGTTAAAGTACTCGTACTCGTACTCGTATTCGAATGTTAAAGTACTTGTACTTGAAATGACGGTACTTGTACTCGGGCAGCAAAGTACTCGTACTCGACATGTCAAAATTGTACTCAATCAATCTAGGGGTGTGCATTTACAGGTATCGGTGGAACTGGATACCCGATTGAAGGAAGCATGGGTGCCCGGGTACCCGTTAAAGAACCCAACCCCAAAATTCAAATCTTGGAAATTGCTGTTGAAATTGTTCATAAAAGTCCACAAGATAATACTACCACTTCCGTGTGTTAATACAGCAAGATACAAGTGTGGATCAGTGAGCTTTATAGCTTTACTGTGTAAACTGCAACTTTAATGAGCGTCATAAACATGCAATATGTTTTGTTTTCCCATGTGGCCTGGCTTTCATTTTGAAAATTCTCCACAAACGACATGCAAAACCTTGGTTTTTTTTTCATTGACGAAGAAGTTACTAAGTAATTTGTAAACTTGTTTACGGGTACCCGATCCCATAATCCAGTTCCTGACATCAACGGTCGGGTATTTAGGAACCCGGTTCCGATACACAGCCCTGTTAAGTCAATCACAAGTCAATCCCACTTAACTCACGCTTCATTCGAAAGTCAATCACAAGCCAATATAGGCAGTCAATTACAAGTCATTTGTAAGTCAGATTACAGATTGCAGCTCCTAAACGCTATCTTTAACCCTTAAACTTGGGGTTAACACAGGTTTGCCGTCAACCCTAGGTATAACCCCATGTTGTAGTGTGAAAGGGGTAAAACTGACTGAAACAGTTAAAGAATATAACATCAGTAAAAGACTGGGCCCACTTTCATAAAGTAGCTTAACCCTAACTCCCTCTAGAGGCATTTTGGCCAAGATGCAACCTCAATCTTGCAAAATATTCAAACTGCCTCCATAAATTGCATACAGCCTCCATCCTGCAAAATCCTCTTTTATTCCCTGAATGTGGTCCTTGGAGGGGTGACCACTTCCTCAATCCTACAAAATCCTCCAGCAATCACTGTCAATATGTTGAGGCAGAGCCAGTGACATCCTGGAGCAGCGCGGAGGATTTCAAGTATAATCTACATTGTAGGCCTAAATGTATGCACAGCTGAGCATAAACAACACAAGCTCCCACCCAAGACCTTGACAAAGTGTATCCTCCAAAATCAGCCACACATTTTTGCCATTATAGCCTCAATTCTGCAAAATCCTCCATTTTGCAAAGAGTATTTTGAAGGATTGGGCAGGTTAGGGTTAAGAGCAAGCAGAAAAGTTGTGCTAACTATAACAGAATATTGTGCTCACTTATTTCATCCAAATTCTATTTCATGACTTGGATGTGCTAATGGTTGCACGCGCATGGAGATTTCTATTGTTACATCACTAATTTAAGCAAATTTTTTGTCTGGGGTTTAGCGTGCTTTTAATGTGCTTACTGCTCACAGTCTCAATGAAAGAGACGAAGGCTCCGTTAGCAGAAAATTGTGTGCTTAGCAGCACTATAAAACTGGGCCCTGGTAACTATAAAAGGTGTAGACTGCTTGAAATTATAAAAGAGAAAATATTGAGTCACAAAAAAGGTAGAAAGCATCCAAAGAAGAAGTTGACGTACTTCCTTGCTGTGCACCCATGAACGTGACGCTGGTAGGGATGCAGTCACCCTTGGAGACAGAGAAAATGGCCGTGCCTTCCAATGCTCCCTCCTTCACGGCATAAGAGAAGGAGTCTGCCATCATCAGGTAGTCCCCGAAGTAATATGTGCTGACGTAATCTGCATCATCTAGGAAACCAAGAACAAAAACCAGAGTAAAGCATTGACAAAATGACTGATTTGTTCTTTTCTAAACCAATTCGAGATTGGGCAGACGAGGGACACTACACCCAACAGAGCACCCAACAGATCTAGTCTGTGTTGTACTTGAACTTGGCTGTTTAACGACCTGTCATCATAGCAAATATCACCTCGTGGCAGGGAATCGAAGTGCCACTACATCAATCGATTTGTTATATAGGCCGGGAAAGACATTTACGGAAGGTGAGTACTAGGCGAATCCAAAATAATTGCATATTGTTAAACTTCTACACGCAAAATCTTTTATTGGAGAGCTCGGGAATGGCGCCGCCAGGAATTGACTGTTAGGCCCCATTGGCTCTGAAATTGCAAGATGCGATGCGAGGGCGCAGCCTATCCTACACCATCTCGGGACTTGCTAGCCTCCCTCCACTCTTCCCTATCCAGCATTAATTATCAAACATTTTCGATCTCAGGCTGTGCTCCGTGGTCGTATAAGGGTCGATGTGGCCGGCAGCCATAGGCGCCTTTACGTGCCAGCGGCCCGACCACATGGTAGCCGCGTCCTTCGCACTTCAGCATACCGGCTGCGAGTATGGATGATTAGCCTCCCAAATTATTATCATTATTGTTATTAGGATCCTCAGCTCCCCCGTGTCACTGAGACCAACGTCCCGCCGCAGCGTGTCGATGTTCATGGTTTGTCTCCGCCCCTTCCTGGCAGTTCCATGAGTCGGCTCCCACAGGATGGTGTCATGAGCTGCTAGCTCCGGTTGGCGGAGGCAGTGGCCCGCCAGACCCATCTTCCTCTCCCTGATCTTGTCCGAAATACTTTGAAGGCCTTCATACAAAAACCCAAATAATTAACCAAAGTTCTTGGGAAAAATCCCAAGAAGTGGCCACGCTGAAAAAAAGGCAACCCAGATATTCAGTCAGTCAGTCAGTCAGTCTGTCAGTCAGCGAGAGATATAGGTAAGTCTAATTTCAAGTGACAGTCAATGAGTTCGTCATACGTCAGTGAGTCAGTCAAGTTAAGTACAAATTATTCACAATGGTTGGAGTATAAAAGTAAGCATGTAGTGTCACCAGGTAACTCGTGTGCTGCCCTCTATAGATGAGATATAGGGAGCTGAACTAAAGGTTAAATAGTAAATGGTAAATAGGCCCGAAATTGCCTACGTCTGCCAATCACGATTTGCATGCCCTCAATTTCTTATCTATTAGAATATTTTGTGGGCCATGAACTTGAGGGTTTGTAAAAAAAAAGTGGAAGCATTGAAGAGGACTGCGAGCTCGTACGTCTGTGAAATGCGGATGAAATAGGTATACAATTGCTCTATTTTGTTGCAAAATAGAGCTATTTGGGAGCTTGAGCATCCTTTTTTTTTAATGGCGATTGGCTTCAGCAAAGCCCCATTATCCCTACAGCTGCTAAAAACTAGTACTACTAGCATCACATTCTTGCAAACAGAAAACTTGGAATAAATCGGGAAAACTAAATCATGGATTGGTTCTTGTCACTCGGTGTATTCAACGTCATAGGTCATTGGAACTTTTTCGTTTTGTGCCGCAATATACAAGCGAAATAGCAAACCGCAAACTGAGTGATCGAATCAATAACGGTTTGCTTCTTATCACTCACTTTATTCTTCGTCCTATGTCATTATTTATATTATGCAATGTACAGGCAAAATAACAAACCAATACGTTCACATTCAACCAAATTAATCTAGTTTTCTGTTCCCTGTAGCTTTGTACTCCATATGAGCAGTTATCATTCAGGGTAAATTGAATTTCAGCTATTTCATTTTCTCAACATAGGTATTCAAAAGTAGTGCACACGTTACATCTAATGAAAAAAAACTTTTTTACTGATTATTATTTTTTGACAATCGTTTCTTATTTCATTTGTATGTACATAACAATTAAACTGCAACGACAAAACCACATTGCACAACAGCTAAAATCACAAATTCAGTAACAACAATGACCTTGCGGGTTAGCGGAAAAGCGTTTCACTTGTATTCTTTTGGCAGGAGGAAAAACACGCGACCAAAGTTTAGAATCGATATTACTTGTTGAACTATATTTCACTCATGAAATGTTTTATTTGCAAAATATTCGTTTTTCCATCAAGACTTAAAACATTTTGAATTTTGGCCTTTATCCTTTTGTGAAGCCGAAACATGTTTAAGTAATGTGGTGTTTTGGCTGCCATCTATCGATAGATCATAAGGCATGAGATTAAATAAAATTTCACATTATGTTCAAAAGGTATATTGAACATAATAATGCGTAGGTTCAATTCACCTACTTTTTTCGCTTTTGTGGGGCCCAAAAATCAAAACATGTTTTCGCTCTAGCAGATCTGATCTGCAAGTACACTGGTTCTGATAGAGGTGGAAACCAGTTTACCATGTGATAAATGAATTATTGTCAGGACTTAAATAATTATAAACTTCACAAGAAAGAATTTTCAGATTAACTCGTTGTTTTATTCGATGTCGGTGCTGTCATTCGATTTTTTTTAATTACGTTTTGGGGGCGCTGTTATTTACGAACGTATATCAGTCACGTAGCTTCCGAGGAGTAAAGGGGGATTCATCCCTTCCTCAATATTTTCTCACGAGTGCCACTTTTTCACAAGTGCTTAGTTTTTGTAACGCCAGTCGGCAATATTGTGCCACCTTGAAGAGCGCCACCTATTGTCCGATAGTGCCCAAGACAGCAAGATGGTGTATATGCTTTATGTATGTGTTATATTAAGCCTCGTAGCCGCATTTCAGGTATACCTGCTAAACATCTATAATCATTTTTCTAACAATGCACTTGTTATACCATATAGTCTTCTTTTCCATTTTGGTTTTCATCTATTATTTATTAAGGCCGGCCAGGGATTTAACATCCACACTCCGGTAGGCTCCGTCAATTTGGAAAATTGCCATGCCCCTCTCCGGCAGGCGTATCAGACTTGGGTAAAAATATTCAATTTCGAGTTTACAATAACCAACTTCATTATATGTTCACAACAAAAGTACTCACTGTCGCATCGCATGGAGTTTCATCTGGCTGGTTTTCAGAGAATAGGAAACGCCTTTCCAGTGGCGCCAATGCACGCCCTTTTCATAAGCGGCTGCATGCTCATCTGGGTAATATTGACCATTCAAGCCGGAGTGCTAACAACTACCAAACCACCAGGCTCCGTGGCGGGATTGTGCACAATTATATGATCCCGCTAGATCATAGTCATTATCCTTCGTTGAGTAGGGACGTCCGCTGTGATACGCGAGAGAGTCACCGGCAATGCTGCTGGCATTGAATTGGCCAATATTCAGATTGTACTCACCCGGGGATATTTGTCAGTCACTGCCGACTTCAGTTTCCATCCAACCTCGTCCCCTGCGTGAAGCAGTTCGCTTTCACCAGCCAGTCTCTCACAGTGGTACCGGGTCATTTGAATATTCAAACATTAAAATTAGATACGGAGAGTCGGGTGCCATGATATGTTGTGCTTCAGAGCAGTGCTTGTTTTTTTTTGTGTGTACGGTTTCAAAGGACAACACATGCTCCCTAAAAAAAAAATAATCTTCGATGCTTTTTTCTGCTCTCTCAGTCAATTAGAGAATACATTTTGGAACTGATGTTTTGAAACATAGCCCACTGGCCCTACAGCTGCTAAACACAATACTAGAATCACATTCTTGCAAACAGAAAACTTTGAATGAATCGGGAAAACTGAAACATGGATTGGTTCTTGTCACTCGGTTTATTCAACGTCATAGGTCATTGGAACCTTTTTTTTGTTTTGTGCCGCAATATACAAGCAGAATTGCAAACAGCAAACTGAGTGATAAGAATCAATAATGGTTTGGTTCTTATCACTCAGCTTATTCAACGTCAAATGTCATTATTTACATCATGCAATGTACAAGCAAAATAGCAAATAACTACGTTTAGATCCAACCAAATTAATCTTTTTTTTTTTTTTTTTTTTTGCGCACTGTAGCTTCATACTCCATACGAGCAGTTATCATTCAGGTAAATTGAATTTAAGTTATTAAACACTGGTAGTAGTGCACACGTTACATTATGCGGCATGTTCAGCTATAGATTAACTAAATGGGATGGCAACTGGTTTGTTGATTTTGTTTTTTTTTTCGGATTTTTTTGAAAATCGTATCTTATCATTTCATTTATATTTACATAACAATTTTGAGCGAAACGACAAAACCAAATTGTACAACACTCTAAAAACAACTTGGTCAAAATATTGACTGGTTTTCCTTTTTATTGAAAATTGTACGACTAGGAATTTAGTTAACCATGCAAAGTTTCATAATATGACAAACAAAGTGGTAGGGTTCGACTCCAATCTTAGTTATTTGCATAACTATTTTTCCCAAAGTCAATAATACTGACCGTAAAAATCTAGTCAGATTGACCGATTTTTAGTTGCACCCAGCTGACCATGAATGGCTGGTCAAATTTGATTGGTTTCTAGTCAAATCTGACTAATGTTTTTAGAGTGAAGAGCTGAAATCCTTAATCTCTGTAACGACGATGAGTTTGCAGATTAGTGGAGCATTTTTGAGTTGTATTCTTTTGGCAGGAGGAAAATCCCGCCACCAAAGTTTTGAATTGATATCATTTAATGAACTAGATCTCTTTGATGTAATGATTCATTTGTACAATATTCGTTTCTCCATCAAGACTTAAAACATTTTGAATTTTAGCTTTTATCCTTTTTGTGAGCTCGAGCCAGTGTTAAATAATGTGCTGTTTTGGCTGCCTCTTATCCATAGATCATAAAGCACGAGATTAAACAACTTTTCACATTTAACCAAAAGTATTGAATATAGATATGCGGCGGATAATTTCAATTCACCTGCTTTTTTCGCTTTTGTGGGCGTCCAAAAAAACCCCAAATAAACCTGTTTTCTCTCTAGCAGCTCTGCTCTGCAAGTACACTGGTTCTGATAGAGGTGGAAACCAGTCTACCAAATGAATTGTTGTCAGGACGCAAATAATTCTAAACTTGTCCCAAACAAATTACCGATTAAACTTTACCCGTCGTTTCATTCGATATATTTTTCATCTATTATTTATTAAGGCCGGGAAGGGATTTAACATCCACACTCCGGTAGGCTCCGTCGCTTTGGAAATTTGCCATGCCCTCCACGGTGGGCGTGTCAATATTAAATTTTGAGTTTACAATAACCAACTTAATGTCAGTTTGCAAAAAAGTACTCATTGCCGCTTCGCACGGAGTTTCATCTGGCTGGTTTTCAGAGAATAGGAAAGGTCTTTCCAGTGGCGCCAATGCACGCCCTTTTCATCAGCGGCTGCATGCTCATCTGGGTAATATTCACCATTCAAGTTGGAATGCGAACAACCACCAAACCACCAGGCTCCGTGGCGGGATTGTGCACAACTATATGATCCCAATGCATCATTGTCAATGTCCTTTGTTGAGAAGGGACGTCCTCTGCTTAACGCAAGAGAGTCACCGGCAGTGCCGCTGGCATCGTATTGGCCAATATACAGATTGTACTCACCCCCGGATATTTGGAAATCTGCGTACTTTGCCCATGCCGTGTTGCCCGCCCAGTCCCCCAAATCAACGCGTAGCTCCCATGTTCCTTGTGAATCATCAGACGTCAGAGTCACCAAGTTGTCATTGCCCAACCAGAACTCACCGGACAGATCGCCAAACCCAAGCTGGTACTCGGCCCATTTACGGTAAAAGTCCACGCTGCCATCTTGTCGCCTCTGAAACACGATCCATCCTCCGCCGTCAGTTTCCATGTCACAGTAGACAAGAAGACCGCCATTACCGAATCCCTCTGGGTTGATTGTGTAGATACCGCTTGAACGATAACCGGCATCTAAGAGCATCTTGCAACTTCTGTAGGAATTCAAGGGACTATTAGTCAGTGAGTAGAGAGGTGTGTCCTCATCTGCATCAAAGTACACACTCCCTTGAGTTGCATTGAAGTCTTCGGGATGCTCTCGTCTTGTGGCAAGGTGTAACTCGCACATGTTATTGCAGTCGTTAAAGTTAAACGACTTGCAACGTTCATCCATGCTGCATTCCCGTGCACAGAGGACGCGAGAACGCAGAGTTTTGTTTGCATATGCTAACCCTTGTAGTGCGCGATTTTCTGCAGCGTAAAATGTATGTTCGCCTGTATAAGGTGAAGTTTCCAATCCAGAGACAATCAAGATAGTTCCCTGGATCACCAAGGATACTATGTAAAATGACTCCAAAACAAAATGTTGTTTCGCCATTTTCTCCATCTGAAACCGTAGATAACTTGAATGATACTGATGATCGGTGGTCATGGAATTTGGTACTGCTTCGATTGGAAAAGGTAGATGCAAAGGATGAGAGTGCGTTCGATTACTTCCCCCAGCTTACTCTCGTCTGGCTCCTGGCGTAATGACAGACATGCGCAGTGGAGCTGAATAAACGAACGGTTTCGGATAAAGTTTCGTGCAAGAGCTGGAAACATGGGCGTCGCCAGGATTTTTCTAGAGGGGGGCAAAACATATTCTCCAAAAAGATCTTGTTTTCTCAAAATATTCTCGATTTATCAGTTCCGCCCCCATTAAAGTTACACCAATATGGGTTATCGCTTCTTTTATTTTTTTAATTTTTTTTCTCACTTTTTTTCTTCCTTTTTTATTTGCTTTTCCGGGGGGGGGGGGAGAATGATGCAACCTGACGCCACTTTTTCCTTCATAATATATCATCTCAATGAAGGTCATTCATTGCAAAAATTATGATAAGACATGAATCTGGGACTGAAATATATTTCCAATTTTGTTAAAAAAAACTTTGTACACAATCGCGGAAGTGGCGTCAGGTTGCAACATTTTTCCAAGGCTGCATCCGAATCAATTAACTGTCTAGAGCACGTCCACGCCCAGTGCAAATACGCGGGCCGCTCTGACAATAATTTGTATAGCCGTAGCTGCCTGCATAGAGCTACATAGGGTTTGTAGCTCTATGCTCCATGGAAGCCCGTTTTGGACACTTCCTGAGGCGCCCGCCGGACGTTGCATGGCCATGATGGCCTTATGGGATACTTACCCAAATGACCAGCTCGTCGAGTCGGTTAGTTGGGCCAGGCTCCAGTAAGCGCGAGAAGTCACGTGAGAGGTCAATCGAATGCTGTCGCGCGCTTGCACGAGTAGTAGCGCGGGTGAATCAATCGAACGCGCTGTGTGTAATTTACTGATTGGTCTGCAGGTGTAATGCCGCATGCCTTGTTATTGGTCATTTTTAACCGTAGCCTTGATTGGCTAACGTTATGATGCAGTAGTGGTAAGTGTAATCTTCTCGCGTTGTAAGATATGGTTAAACGTTATTTAGCATTGGATTCTTTTTGGTTTAGTTGTAGGTTACAATATCGAGGTCAGTTTTGTAATATAGGTTTTTCCGGCGAATTTCCGAATTTTTCTAATCAGTTTCATTATCAGCCATTCAATTTCGCGTGAGTTTTGCACATGTGGTCTAATTGGGGTTTCTTTTTCACTTGGGGTTCATTCAATTTCAGAGCGGTTATATTTTTGCCAAAGCTATTACTTTGTTTTCCGAAATCAGTTCTTTTTTCCCAGTGCATTTTTTTTCGAGAGCAGTTATTAATCTTTTTTTTTTAGAGCAGTTTTTTTTTTTCGAGAGCAATTGTTTTTATTTCCGAAGACGTAAGCGGCGCCCTTCCCCAAAGGCCCAATTTGATGACGTCATCGTGTTTCACAGGTCACCATATAAATAGATACCCAGTGTCCGATCTTCCCCGCTTTTTATCATTGATGCAGTCGTGTTGCTGCATGCAGTGGCGACAGCCTAAGTACTTTACATGTACATTCCTCAAAAGTGCAGCCTGTAATACTGAAAATAAAAAAGCTGCTCTTGAAAATAAAAATGACTGCTTTCGGAAAACAAAGTAACGGCTTTGGCAAAAATATAACCCCTCTGGAAAAAAATAAAATTTCGAAAATGAAATAGCGATGGCAATAACGGGCTTTCGTACATTTCGAGCCCTCATTGGCATTTGTAATTTGCGAGTAAGGATCCAAAGCTCTGAAAGTTATGGGATAGAAGTCAGTAAATATTCTGTGAGAAAGTAAAATGTGGTTGGATAGTCAGTGAAAAAGTCCGAAAGTGTAGAAATCATGAGGCGGGAGGGGGGGGGGGGGGTGGGGGGGGGGGGTTGAGGGGGGGGGGTGAGGGGTGACCCCCCAACCCCTCCCCCTCCCGAGCTCTAACTCATATTGATTTCTTCATTGAAATATAGGTTTTCCTGGCCAATTTCACCAAGTTTTCATTCAATTTAACGCCTGGCTCATTTGATTTAGATTGAAATTAAAAAATCACGCATATCGGCATTCCACAATCAAAAAGAATCATTCTATTTCACTATCCGAACATTCTATCGCCTTTTAGCTTCACTCGTCCCTATCAAAGATGCATTCATATTAAAAGTATCGCGTTGTTCATTCAATTTCGTTTAAACCATTAGTAAGGGGTTGATCGGGCATTCGTTTACATTAATGGGCAAACATATTTCACATTTTGTCAAACATCATTTAAGACTTCATACGTGTCCGTATTCCTGTCTTCTTGATGTCTTCAAACCGTAGATTGACTTTCTTTCTTAATTAAAGGGTATGTGCAATGAATTTTTCTCAGGAAGTCTTGTTGCGCAACTCTGTGAAATGTAAGAAAACTACACATTTGACAACACTTTTTGAGTTAATCTTGTTGCAAATGTGCACTTCTTTAAACATTTAACAGTTTCCATGCTTTTCCGGACTAACGCTGTTACTGTGATGTCATTTCAGTTTAGGGTTTTTTCTTACAAATTATTCAAACAAAATTTGCTAATTGAAAACATTTGTGGGAAAGGGTTGGTCATTGGCTTACTGCCATGTGCTGACACATCATATAATCACCAAATAAAAGAAATTTATGACAGCAAAATATTCAAAATTCTAGCAACTTTTTTTTGCTGAAATCTTGGCTGCCTAAAAATGAAATTGAATGAACCCCAAATGAAAAAGAAACCCCAATTGGACCACATGTGCAAAGCTCACGCGAAATTGGATGGCTGATAATGAAACTGATTATAAAAATTCGGAAATTCGCCGGGAAAACCTATATTATTTTTAAGAGCAGTTATTTACATTTTTAAGAGCAGTTATTATTATTTTTGAGAGTAGTTATTTATATTGTTCAGAGCAGTTATTATTATTTTTGAGAGCAGTTATTGATATTGTTCTCAAAAATAAAAATAACTGCTCTTAAAAATGTAAATAGCTGCTCTTAAAAATAATAATATATAAAAAGATGCAGTCTTTGATATCAATTTCACGCTCTTAATTAAATGAAATTAGCCCTGATTTTTTCGGGGTTGGGGGAGAAGAACATTTTTCGCCCAAAACCCTTGTACTTTCTCTAGCATATAAAATATTCTCAATTTTTCCTTTCTTTTTCTCCTTTTTTAGATTTTATATTTTTGTTCTTTTTGCCCCCCCCCCCGCGACGCCCATGCTTTTTGGTTTCACCGATCTGCCAGCTAATCAAGACGTATTCGATATTTTATTCAGGCGATTTTAATGAAGTTATGTTAGGTTGACAGCTTGTTGTTTTGGGGGATGGTCATTATGACTACAATATTTTGCCGAAGGCAACCTGAATTATTCATTCAATGCCATGATATACGGCTCGGCCTACTTACACTGAATAATTTAACGCGTGACCGTAGTTACGTAAATAAAATAACCAACATGCTTAAGGCCAAGAAAAAAAATAAGTCGGTCTCTGGTCAGCGCACGCGTCTATTTTAATCATGCGCGTCAATCCTTTTTTTTCAAAATGTTCCGCGGAAGCTCCAACAGCGCCCTTTATTGCCGCACTTCCTCAATTTGTTTTACCAAAGAGCACCAAGGAATGGAAAATTGCACCAAGAAGGCAAATGATCGAAAGCACCAAGGCAAATAATGGAGGACACCAATATACATGAGGACACCAAAAAAGCAAAATAGTACCCCACCTTGTCTGTACAATCCAAGCTTGAAGAAAAAAAAGAAGAAAAAGCCGCGTCGCCGCGTCAATTCCGACACTTTGGTCTGACCAGAGACCGAATATTTTTTTTTTTTTGGCCTAAACCGCTGCAGAATGTCAAGGCCGACGTGGGTAGTCGGATCGGTAAATTATTACCAAACAAATTGAAAGGTAGTTACGCTTAATATGTTAAGATGCATCCAGATCCAAACTCTGTACTAATTTCTGAAATGTTTGGTATGTCGAAACAAAGTGAACAATCGTAATACTTTCGAATGATCACCGTTGAGCGTAATGACAGACATTCGCAGTGGAGCTAATAAAGGAAAAGTTTCGGGAAAGAGCTGGAAACATGGGTGTCGCCAGGATTTTTTCTAGAGGGGGCTGGGCAAACAAATTTTCCAAAAAAATCCTGTTTTTCTCAACATATTGACTTATCAGTCCTCCCCCCCCCCCCCCCATTAAAGTTACAACAATATGACTTCTCGCTGCTTTTCTTTTCTTTTTTTTTCTCATTTTTTTGTCTTCTCTTTTTTTCTATTATATTCTATTCTGTATTGGTGATTTGTTTTTTTCATTTTCCTTTTCAATTTTTCCTTTATTCGTGGTGGCGGGAAAAACATTTTTCTTTTCATTATATTTTTTAATGGATATTCATCAATTCGTAGACCGTTAAATTGGTATTAGTGGTGGACAGCTGAATTTTGTGATCTCTTTATTAAAATAGACACGACTTGGGAATAGAGTATGCAAATTACGTGACATTTTCACGGCTACTACTCAATAACATGTTCTTTATCACAGTTATATTTTTTTTACAAAATGGGGTGTGTCATTTTTTTTATCATACGGTCACTTTCTTTTTGACTCGCCATGTATTCATCTTTTCATCTGTTATAAACACAAATTGAGCTACTGCCATGGTCACACAAAAATAGAGTCTAATTGCCTGCCTCGTCTCCTTCCTAAATGTCAATTGCGTTTGCATGAGTCGAGAAGACTTTTGTTCCATTAACTCTCTGTCATTTACCTCTGAAGGCCTGGCTAAGGCTGAAATGTATTGCCACTTAATTTGTGTTTAACTTTAATCTGTTAATCTTCCCGCCGTCATCATCATCATTAGCCTTTTTGAGAATTATGGCTGACACAATAGAAGGGCGCTGTCACAAACTGAATGGGGTGGGCGAGATGTACTTTTAGGATTCATGGCTCAGTGCCCACGCCTCTCTGTGTTTTGTACCGTGCCAGCGTATCGCCTGCATCGGCTACTTTGCCGGGCGATTTACTTAAATATTTTAGTGATTTACAAGGACGACATTGCCAATATTTTAATCGCTTATTGTGTTGGCCGTAAACGGCATATAGCGATTAAGAAACAAACATGTCGGGGCCACACAAACATGCAGGGTTGGAAGGAGAATCACAAAGAGGGATGGGGGGGGGGCAGACCAATCCATATCTGGCTACCATCTCTCAATTTTTGGGTCTACATGTACAAGTCTATATTCCATGACTGAAATTTTTAAAAATAGATCAATATTTTCTTGCTCCAAATTATTTTGGAATCAAGTTGCATTTAAGTATCTAGTCGTTAGACTAGTCATTGCTGAAACCAAGGGGGTGGCTGTGGAGTTTAGGGTCCGAGTTCCTATAATAGATGAAACATCCACCTTTAACTTTTTACTTTTGTCAAGTTTCAGCATTACAAAAAACTAGTACAAAATGTCGTACTCCTAAGTTAGAGTTCATCAGATTTACACTTTATAGTAGTTAAACTGTATTTAAAAAAAGTGGCAACAATATATGGAGTTCATCAAATTAGGTTTCCCCTTCTATAAATTAGGTTGTTTCCATTTTTTTAAATTAATTGTGACAATAAACAAATTCGGTTGTCATGTTGTAATTCATGGTATGAAGCAAACATGAAGCGCACATGACACAATTAAGCAGATACAACTAGTGATTGCTAGCTTTCAATCACTTCCTTCACATCCCCATCAACATCGTCATCTCAAGGACAGACTGTTCAGCTGTAATTACTGTCTTATTTTTATAAGAGATTAGTGTTATTTATTATCTGCGGTCTCGGTCTCGCAACTTCAGGTCTCGGTCTCGGACTATCCGGTCTCGACTACTTTTTAACATAAAGATATAAAAGCGCCACCGTTCTGTTTATTGAGATTATGTTCCTTTGTCTCCCTCCTCATTTCCAAGCACACAAGACATGGATGCGTCACTACATAAATCGATTCGATATATAGGCCCAGATTTCATGAAGGCATTTCGGAAGGTGATTTTCTTAAATAGTCGATGAATCCAAAATAATTGCAATTTTTGTAACTTCTACACGAAAATCCGATTGGAGGCATCGGGAATGGCGCCGCCATGCAGTGTTGACTTTTAAGCCCCATTGGTTCTGAAATGGCTAGATGCGATGCGAGGGCGCAGCCTATCCTACACCATCTCGGGACTTGCTAGCCTCCCTCCACTCTTCCCTATCCAGCATTAGGGTCCTCGGCTGAGTCCGTCATACGTCAGTGAGTCAGTCAAGTTAAACCAATTATTCACAGTTCGCAATGGTATAAACGTAAGCATGTACTGTCGAAAGTGTCACCACGCAGGTAACCCGTATGCTGCCCTCTATAGGTGAGATATAGGGAGCTGAAATAAAGGCTGCAAGTAAATAGCGCTGGAATGCCATCAGGACCAACTGCTTTTCTGCAGTTGATACGCCGTAGTTGGTTGAAGACATCCCATTCTTGTAGAACTGGACAAGGTTCCTGTGCAGGTAAGTATACTGGTAAGTATTCATGTCCAAAACAGGGATGTCCTCTGCGACTGATGTGAAGTGGTTATTTATGCTCGATCAGCCACTTGTTTTATAGAACTCGCTGGATCTATTCATGGTGATAGAATTATTGAGGGAATGGAATTAGACCCTCTTGTCATTGTCCGAATTTTTCCCGATACCAAGTTGCGGGGTTCGAAGCTTTGACCTTCTGAACTCGATGATGGTAATAGTTCTGCTCTGACTTGGAGATTAGCCGGATGATTTTATTTCTGACTGTCTTCCATTGAACGTTACCTCTTCTGAACAGATTTTGTTGCCTTCTTATCAGGGATTTGAACTCTGCTGTCATCCACGGTTTGTCTCTGCAATGCAATGTCACATCACAGCGGGAAAATGAAGACATATTTACTTGTGTAGTATTGCACACATAGCGTCACACTTGGAATGTACTTCTTGTACACTCCGTACCTCCATCCAGTAATGATGAACAATCCATTGGCCAAACTCTCGAAGTGCCGAATCTCGAATTGGTCGAACCCGTCAACATCATTGCAATGTTAATATCATCTTGCACCTTAGGAGACAGTCGTCACTGGTTGCCACTGCACTGTATTGTGGTCACTGTGCCCCAGTGGTGGCAAAATGTTCGGTTTTTGGCTGTGACCGGAGATGCTTGTGATGATTTTCATCAAGAACAGCTCCCACGAAAGCCGTACAAGTCAAACATTTAAACAAGTTAACATAAAACGATGCTTTAAATAAAGATTGATATTAAAAGCAATATCATACACTCTAAAAAGGCCCGTGTCGGCTTAAACAAGGAATCCGGTTTCTATTTTTAAGATTGACACTTCCAGGGTCAAAATGGACTCTTTTTGGGGGGTCAAAATGCCACTTTCGGCAAGGTTTTCTGGTCAAAATGACCCAGAAGGTAAGTCAGAGAAGTGTCATTTGGACCCGGAAATGTCAAATTTGACAGTAAATCATTGTCCATATCACCATTTTTCCATTGTGTACTAACTTGTTAAAGTGCATATTTTGATCTCTTCCGTAAAAACCATGTTTGCTCAGTCATCCATGACAATGACATAAAATTAATACTATTCGATAGAGGGCGTTCTAGCAGTTTTGTTCTTGTAGATGTCGCTTTCCGAAATTAAGAATCATTTATAAATTGGCATCCTTTTCTTTGAGACACCCTATAGAATCCGGATTCCTTGTCAATCTGACCAGATACTTTTTACTCGAATAAAAACATGAAATTCTCGATTTTGTTATCACGGGTAATAATAACAACTTGAAAGCACTCAGAGAGCGCAAAGCTCCGCCAAGGCTGAACAATTCCCCGCCATATTGTCAGTACACCTGAAAGAAATACTGGCATATCCATTGGACTTCAATATTTTATTTCACATTGAAAATGTCAATTGATTGCTCATATTCTGATTTTATCAAAAAAAATAGCAATGTTGACCGCTTTATATAGTTAGCTATTCAATAAAACAAAATTGATCCTAAACTCAACCATTTTGTAGTCTACATGTATATGCTAGTGTCGGTCTACCTCTCCACTCCCCCATTGTTAAAATGGTCTACTCCATTGACCTGTGTGGTTAAATTAGCTGAAGGGATACAAGGTCACAAGGTCAGTGCACGCCCACGAAGCTGGTCAGTTGTACACAGAGTTTAAATACAAAATGGTGCAGAATCATTTAAACCAAATCTTCTACCAGACACAGATATGGATCACTTCCAAAATCTAATCGATTTGTACTTGCACCAACGACTACTCCTAAAAACAAATTCATAAAAATCCGTTGTAGCGTGACTATACGACTCCATCAAATGTGGACTCATTGGTAGTATTGCGCGTGCGAGGGTACGATAATATGCTATTTTTAGGCTCATAATGGGAGAGTGACCTGTCACGTGCGAGGGCTTAACCAATTAAGGGGAGAAAGGGGTCCGGATTTTCATAGGAGTCGGATTTTCATATGACACCGTCAGTAACATTTTGAGTTATCCTGTTCTCAGACCAACCGACCAACCAACAAACAAACAAATCAAACAACAAACTAACCAACGCTGATGACAACATAACCTCTTTGATGGAGGTAAAATGTAGTGCTTATATACAGTGCTGTAAACCTGAGGTTTGTAAGCGCTTTACAGGTGACAATTACAATTGACAGCCAATACAAAGTAATTGTATAATAACACTGACGGCTTAAACTCTAGATTCTCAGTTTACTGGTTTCTTCGTCAGTTCATCTTGTTCAAATATATTTTCGTGTAATACCAAGTCTTGATTAATAATTCGACAAGTTCACTTTATTTTCTTTTAGTCTTACAAACAGCTCTTTTTATTCTTACCAAACCGAAAAGCCCTCACGGTCAGGCCAAGAAACTTAAGTCATACGAATCGCGAGGTGGCAAGATATTATTTGGTTACCAAACTCAAGCGCACCAGCCCACCTCACACCGCGGTAATCTTGCCCCGTGTAGTTGACTGGATAGGAATACTCCCCATTCAGGTTAGTCGGCACGAGATCCACATTCCCGACTCCTCCAGTACAAGTCTTGAACCACCAGCCTCCCTTCAGCTGAGCGGCACAATTGGCGTTGCCATCGGCGTCATTGTCGCGATCGTAAGTTGAGAACTGCTGGCCTGAGGAAACGTCAGGGAGAGAGTTACCTAGCAAACACACAAGAAATAATAGTACGCGTTGACATTTATCGAAAAGCAGTGTGCTGCTCCATTGAGCAAGTAAGACAAAAACTTCACAAGCTTCCCCGAATAGATGCGAATCCACGACTTCAAGCTGAAATTAACTGCAAACATTCGACAACCAAGGTAACCAGTGTTGATTATGACTGATACCAATCCAATATAACACAACGTGCATTTATGAAGTAAACTCCATCTTATTTTGGGCGAAGTCGAGGTGTAGAGGAATCGTAAACTCAAAGTGGCTATTTTCTGGCAAATTTCACAGGTGTTCATCAAAGACCAGTAAAACGTACATCGTGACTTTTTACTCGGTGAATAATCAAGTATATAGACTCGTAAAACAAATATGTTACGTTATGTCAATCATACGTGCAATGGTTTCAATGACATTAATTTGAATTGCTGATCACACTAAGTCCTTGTGTACACAATGATTGAAGGGATAAAGAATAAAGGTAATAACAAGAACACGCATCCAACGCTTGGTGATGCATTTGGAAAGGGTATTGTGGACCTGCTTATTGAGGCTTCGTGCACTTCGTGCGTTGTAATGCATTGTATAAACATGGTATTTCGTCATTTCAAGTACTTGAGTTCCCTTCAGTGACGTAATGTAAACAGAGGACGACTTTGGTGTTCGGTGTTTGGACAAGACTGCTTTTGATTTTTTTTTTAAATTGTTTCAGAAGGCTATTACTACAACAAGTATTGAAACAAAAGTAAAAGTTAAAACACTTTTGAGGGATTATAATGAAAGAAACACACTTATTTTGACAAGTAGATCAGATGATATACCTGTTGAAGAATGATGTTGCCATGGTTTCAGTGGATTCACATGTAGTGTGAAGTTGTCACCTGCGATCTTGAACGTTCCAAACTTTATTTTAATCGTGTATTTGGCTTCTTTTACGAACATCTGAAGTTCCCAAGTGCCTTCCGATGTGAGCTGGCGGACTATCTCGTTCCCAAGCCAGAACTCTCCCGTCATATCACCGAAGCCATCTCGGTACTCAGCCCAGCTACGGTTGAAATTCACTAAGCCGTTCTGACGCTTCTGTATCACCTGAAACAGGTCAACAATAAAGGAAGAGTCACCTACTAACTTCATCACTTTTTGTTCTGGAAAACGGGATAATGTTTTGTCTAAAAATTGCGTCGACGGACCATATACTTTCCAAGCTGCCGAAAAACTCATTTCCAAATGGGGGCGCTCTTCGAAACTGACCATTATTATGCATACTGCAAATTACACAATGTATATGCTCATTTTCACAGCGCATCGGAATGGGTACTCTCAGAACTATCTAACCATTTATTGAAATATTTGCTGAAAAAAAAAATAATTTTCAAAAAAGTCTGCCGGGGGCAAAGTGCCCCCCCCCCCCCCCCCCCCCCCCCCCCCACATTAACCATCGACTGTTGTCCTAATTTAGATCTCCCAAATAGTGGGAGATTTATATTACAAAACACCAAGTTCGCGCAAGGCAAAGCAAGGTCATACCCGTGGGAACGACGTTGGAAGCTGCCTGGATCTCCGACCAAAAGATTTTGACGATTGGTTTGATTCCGCGTGGTGTTGATTTAACGCAACCAGTGTTATTGTAGGAAGGGCCGGGTTCGGCCGATGAGTTTCGAATTGTTCTGCTTTTTGTTTAGTTTTGTTTGCTTTGTTCCCTTCAGTGTACAAAATACTTGTGTGCACAATGACATTCGTTAGCAGTATAAGCATACAACTGGCATAAGCACGACACGGTATATTGTAGTTGACATAAAACAGTTCCATTTTGGTGGTTGTCGAAATGCCGACTTTCAGGTCAGGGAACGGGCCTGACTGCTGATTTTATGTCATGAACAGACTGCATATACGGATAAACCCGAAGGAACTTACTATCCACGTGCTTTGGCAGAAAACGGTCAAGCCGTTTGGATACTGTGATGGGTAGATAGTGGCGACACCTCGATTTATCCCGCTGTCCAAAATGTCGCGGCAGTCAGCATATCGGGGACCTGAGGGTGTTGACGAAATGTTGATCTCAACTCTGGCTTCGGTTCCAATGCTGTCTTCTAATTTATTGAAAAGAGATTCAGAAATAGCTCTGAATTAATTTCGTTAATATTTAAAAGGATAAAATCGAGGCTTCTGACATTCCTAAGGAATTGTGCAATAATTAGACAATTCAACTGATAGGAGATGCTTTCGTCCTTGTGCATGGCGCACCACTTTGCTCCCTTTGTAGGTAAGATTGGTGTGAATGCTTAGACTTTTTATTTGTGGAAAGGGGGAGTAGAATAATAAAGATTCAGACCGTGAACATCACTAAAAATATTTGAATTAAAACCAAATCGGATCATTCAAAGAAGCATTCGCTGACTCATAGCATATCCTCACTTGAAAAAAGGTTGTTCAAAGACAGAGGAAAGGCATTGGAGACCCGTAACGTAGGTTCCTTTCATAATCGAGAAGATATTCTAATAAATATGGAAATAAACTGTATTTAAAGGCGCTAGATCAACTATTTGGGAGAATACAAAATACTCAACATTACATGAATGGTAGAGTATTGAAATGTAAGAAAGTACAAAATATTTTGAAAGGTGATGTCACTGATTTTCACAACAAAAATGGCAATGCATTTGAAGCTTTGATCAGATTCTCCTTACCAGTCGAATTCCGTGTCCCTGGGCATCGTTGGAGTATTTCTCGAGCCGCTGCTTTCATCCAATGTTCACCAGGAAGTGGCTCCGGTGGCGGACCGATGTAACAAGTCCTCAACTGACTCTCAACACCAGCTAATTGTACTGCAGATTGAAATTGAACCATAATCACTCTTAGTGACAATATGTTGTGCGTAGAAGTGGCAAAATAAGTTTCGCGAGAAACGGCCTGGCCCATTGATGTAACTATGGAGGGATTTGAGGTTATAGGAGGCGCTCTGTTTTCCAGTTTTTTATTAAGTTGATATTCCACAAATCCGTAGGAGGGGACGGGTACAAGTACCATCGATATCAAAACAGTCGTCTTCGTATCTTCTAGTTTGAGGGGAGTCAGGTTGGCGTAGCGGTACTTTCCTGTGACCCGGATTCGAATCCCGCCTGGGCCAATATGTGGATTGGGTTTTCAGTCCCTACCTGATTCCGTGGGTTTTCCTCAGAATATTCCTCTGGGCTTTTCCTCCCACCTTTAAAACTGTAATTTCTTGTCAATGTCTTCTCTCTACAGGTTTCTTCAGGCTTCCGGGCTACAGTGCTTAAGGCACTTTTGAGGGACCCTTGGTTTCATTACCAGAAAGAAATAAAATAAAATTAAAAAATAAATAGAAATTTTTTAGGCCTAATTAATAAAACGAAATCAAATAAACCACATAGGGAAACTGACTAGGTGCATTGCTCTATGGTTATACTATTTTTTAAAAGATGAACAAAGAAATTGACTGAAGCAGGGGTTGAACCTGCGACCCCTGGATTGCCGTTCCTGTGGTACAGTTACCCAGCCCTAATTAAAAGCCACATTCTCTATCCTACTGTTTTCTGGACAATGTTTTGGACGAGCATACAACTATCATTAACGACAGCTGCTTGTGTGTGAATGTGTTTGTTCACGAAACAGTCGTTGGATCACCACAGCCCGCCGCCATTTGAAGTTTATTTTGTCCGACTCTTCGGAATCGTACAGCAACTCTACAAATTCTATCACAAGTAAAATAGCAATTCGTAAACATCAAACAAGAAACTGTGAGTGTCTCTACATCAACCTTGATAAGTTGTGCAATAACAGGCTCCACGGCAGTCCCGATTTGCTGATTAAATTTGACATTTCAGTCGCTACGCCACAACTAACGCCACCTAAAATGATTGCGCAAGTTACGACATAATTTAGTGCGCCAGTCGCGGACTTATACGCACTATCCGACTTACGTGAAATGTGTCATAAGTGAAATGTTGCGCAGCGTGAAATGCTGCGCAACTTACGCAATAAATGTTGGCTTAAGCAGAGTTGCGCCATTGCGTAAGGTTTCGTAAAATTGGCTGCAGGTTTATACAGCATTTCGAATGTTGCAAGCATCCTGATTTTCGGCTTGATCCCTAGCTACATGGCATATACGGGTTTATGGCTTCTGACTAGCGCCTCTTGAACAAAGACATATTGACACAATACGGTACCGCCAGAATAGCTAGTATAATTGCATAATGCCAATGAGAAAACCTAATCACTCGATGGAATCCGATAGTTTTGTGTTTCAAGTAAGTTTTCCGTTCCGTTGTTCATCGGTCTTTTTTTCTAATTAGCATCTGTATATGAACTTGCTGAACCATTATTTTTTTTAGCTGTTACCATTATTGTTGAGGACTTTCTCTCCATGGTCCGAAAGGTCGGTAATTCACACGGGCAGTGCCAATCATCTACCCAATACCAACAAAGTGTGATCATCGCTAATTATTGTGGTGTCATTAGACACAGTCGATGGATTTAAGTTTATTACCCTCAGGAAAAGGAAAAAAATATCGCTCAAAAGCAGCATGGTAACACCTCATTACAATTTTTTTTTGCTTTTTTGTTTCGTATTTAGCCCGAACAAAATATATAATTTCCTATATCTAGCGATGCACGCGGTTTTTTTTTAACTTTAAATGAGCCATTGAATAAAAAATCGGCCCATGTATAGTTGAGAAAACAATACTGCACATTATTGGAATACAGGAAAGGTGGAGCACTTTTAAACGTCTGGTGTAAAACCGGTTAGGGGCCTGGTCACTGATAATGACCCCAGCACACCTGCTTACGTTACATACCTAGTGAGGACATTCTTTTGTTTTCGTGTAGTTAAGAAAAACCTGTGAAAAAAATCATTTTACTCACACTGTGAAACCTATTTCAACCCATTTTTTTTCTATGATTCCTTTTAGTGTTTCCCTCCACATTGCCACGGATAAACCTTACCCACAAATGCCTCTAAACCTGTTTTCCAAAGAGGGGGAAACATTGTGCGGACGTGGACAAGTCCACACAACGTCGCTGCTACCTGGTTTATGTGGACATCTTTTGTTCGGAAGTCCACACAGTGAATATAATACTTGTAGATGTGTTAATCGTGCATTCCAAATGACCCGCAGGTACCCCGCATTAAAAAAACAATACAACACTGCCAAAAAAACCCAGTTTTTTTGAATTTTTTGTTTTCTTTAGGTTAAAGAAATTTACCGGAGCGGGGTTAGAACAGGCGGCCTCCGGATTGCCGTTTCGTACCGGTGCTCTATCCACATTCGCCTCTTCGCAAACACATGCGTGCTAATTGGTGAGTTCTATGAGCCTTAATAGCGTGGTCGTTAGTTGCAAACGATTATTAAAAGGGGAAAAAGAGCACCTCTAGCGTCAAATGATGTTCCGCTGTTTTGGGTGTTTTTTTTTGACTTGTGGGTTTTTGTTTGACTTGTTTTTTTTTTCATGCAGAATAAACCTAGTACTTGCTTTGCTCTTCAAAGTGGTAGAATTATGAAGGTGCATTCAAGACAATCCTCAGTCCCAAAGTTATTTGCCACATTAAATCTGATCATTTGTCACACTGAATCCGATTACCAGAATAACAGTGAATGCTATAAAATGACAATAAACACATGCAAGTCTTTCATAAACATAATATACCGTGCGTGTTAAAAAAAAAGTGTAGCGGCATTCACAGTGAACATGTACGAATAAAACGTCAACTTACCGAGAACAACGATCGCAAGTGTGCCGAGGGCCACGAGTAGATTCATCGTGACAAGACTCGGTAGCTGCTGGCTTATTTTTTATTGAATTGAACTTCAAGTTGACGGAAAGTGGCTAGACATACACTCGTGTTTTGTCCGTCGGTGCCCCAATATTTACTAGCACTGTGGTGTGTATCGTGTTTATCATTTGCTGGCCTCGACATGTCTACATCGAAATACTTGACTAACAAGATTTCGGACGGATATTCATTGATGCGCCCAGCGAATTGCGTATGCATTACGTTTCCATGGAGAGGGCCAATGATAGCTCACCAGTACCACTGAGGAAACATCCATTATTAGAGTGGGGATATCTTTCTCTTGATCAGTGTACATTTTTCTCTCTTTTTTTTCTCTAAGATTTTCATCAGAATATTAAACTCATTCGTATAATTATAATAAATTACAAAATATTGTGCCAAATTATTGTTTTCTGAATAAGATAATAATATCATGGAATACCCAACGGTCAGGAATTAGCTTTTGACCCCTCGAGGAATGGGATTCGCCTCAATGTTGTGTTGCACACGGGAACAAAACGATAACGGGAACTAAAGATGTTTTTTTTAATATTTTTATAGTAACGGGTTTGATTTTTATCAGTAGTGACTAGGTGTTGAATATGTGTTTTAGATAATGCAGTGGTGGGCTGATTGCAGCTTTGCATATTGCACGGCGTTGTCGATCCCACAGCAAATCATTCCATTTCCTATTTGGCCGTGCCACAGCGCAGTCCTCCGGAGTTATCAGGTTGCAGTTGGTTTCCATCTGTCACCCTATTCCTGAACTCCACCTCATCAGTACCATCCTGACACTTCCAGATATCTATCAGAAACAAAACACCGATATACAAGAACAAGGTTGGAATTGATAAGTAAAAACATAATTCCTTCGAAAGAAGAAACAACTCTTACTTTATTTGCTGAAATCCTAATTTCTATTTACACATTTGAACGCGGCTGTCATTTTTAGAATCGAATACACATAAAGAAAAAGCAAATGCAAGCCAGTTTCAACATAACCTTCTTTCTCGAGATCGTTGCAATTGATCCACAACCTGGTAGGCACTAGTTTGCACGAGGATATCAGTTTCCTCCTGAGACTGTGGAACTACCAAGACACTTCCCATCTTGATGCACTCATCTTTGGCCCCAGACCAAGCAAGGCGATCAGTGATGGCTTTGTAGCATTTGTCACCCCCACTGGATCAAGGGGGGAGGAGGACGCCCCCATCTACGACCAATAACGAGGTCTTACACCTCTCGTTTCCGATTGTGTAAGCAATCATAAGATGAAGGCTTACTAGTAAAAGATGAACCATTTTGGCGCCATCATTTCTCAGATGTTACCCGGCTGGTGTCTATAGTGGTGAAATGATCAGACTGCACGCCAACTAATCATCTCGCAGAGTAGAGCTCCTACGTGTTCATTGTGAATGCAACATTTGGGCAAAACAAACACAAGTTGAAAGTCAGTATTTTTTGGTGTGCCCATGAATGTGTTTACCAGAACTGATAACTGGTAACCGAGATGAATTGTATTTTTGCCAGTTGTTCTCGCACAGTTTCAATATTGTGAAGAAAAAATGGACGGGTTTAATACAGGAATTCAAGGCAGACATCGATTGGTAATTTGCTACCATGCAGTAGGCCACGCAGTATAGATCCACTACACCAGATGATACTAATTGAACGTAAAACTAAATTAAAAGTCTAGTAGCATATTGAGGGGGAGTCGAAAAAGGAAACGGGAAAGGAGAAAAACTGAAAAGAAGGCCGAGGCATAAATCAAATAATTGAAAAGTCAATAAAGCAGAAACTGCCTACATGGGAATTGAGGGACCTAAAACGTTGCTATGCACACTATGCATTGATCAGATTTTTTTTACAATGCATATATTTTGACAAAATCCTTTTTACTTGGCAACACACAGATCTACTGCTTCTCATGATTTAAATTAGTTTATTTTACAATTTACACTGTCCTGTGTAGGTAATTATGCTGTCTCACACAGTTTCATAATTGTTGGCATATTTTCTCTGTTTATACACTCAATCTGCCCCCTGGGCCTCTGTGGCAAATAAAATACTTAAAAACTTGGAGTTTTGCAAAAGTTGGGATCATGAACTGGAATCTGGCACTAATTTTCATAGATTGGACCAATCACAGCCAAGAGTTTTGACCAAACACAGCCAAGAGCTTTGACTAATCAGACGAAGGATTGAAGCACTAATGACATGCGTGGAACAATGCAAGCAGTGTGTGGGTCATTCTGTCACAGATTCCTGATTCCAGCTTGACCAAATAAGTTCCGTATCTGGCAAAAAGGTTTAAATAAATTGCTTGAAGCTGTGGCAAGAAACACAAAGAGTATGTCTTGGGTTTCATTCATTAGTGAGTCCGGGTATAACACGCGATTGTATCAGACACAGCATCCGAAATATTGTCCGACATCACCTCACGTTTGTATTTTCAACAGTAAGTCGAACATACATTTACAGCCATGTGAACATCAATATGATAAGATCTACAGCTTAAGCCATGTTTTCATGAGCCATGATTATTTTTTTTCCATGCAGATATGTTATCTTCTTAATTAAAGGTCTCTTTGATTAAAATCAATTTAAAACTAAACGATAGCATTAATATACAATATAGTACATCATACATCCATAACTATTTACATTATCTTCTACTCAGATTCATTATTTTCAATACAGCACAATAGTTTTTACTGCAAGTTATTATACTGGCAATCTTTAAAGATATAGTCCGTCATTTGTAATCTGTGCATTTTGTTCGTTTGATGCAACAAAAGTGCTCAAAATCTAATGAAGGATACTGAACAACTAACCTGATGAAGTTTCAGCTCAGCTTCAGCTGTACATTCCGAGAAAAACAGCATTCTAGGATCTCAATTTCAAATCAAAAGTTGCTGAATCATGTTTTGAATTGTTTTGAATTGCAGCAAAACGCGATGTCGCGCACTGATCCGACGAATTATAGCAACCGCGCGCGCCTGTGCGTCGTGTCAATGCTTGTACGCGCTGCGCCAAATAACAAAACGAACTACTAATTTAAATTTTCTTAAGGTGCGTCTTCAGACGTACCCTTGGAAAGGCCTTCTTTCGTTGATTACTTCAAAATGATAGCTTGCCAGAAAGATTAATTTCACAGGGAGTTTAGTCCCCTTACTATCTTTCAACCAAGTATGTTTTCAACAATAATTACGCCAGTTACTTTTTCGGATGACTGCAAATGATGGACTGTAGCTTTAAGATCGATTCGTTTCTAAGACTAATGTAATTTTGTGAAGACAGAATCATTAGTATAGATTTTAGAAAGAGTAATTAGCAACAGTTCTTCGTCTATCGTCTAATACGGTACAATAGCGTTACTTATAAAATTACGCAAGACTTGCAAAATTGAATTCACAAATATTTCCAAGGTGTTTGGATCGTTATACTTTTATTTGGTTGCTTGATTACAGGTTACCATGTCTGTTTACCCATGTTTTAAACCTGGTGGAAATGTGAGTTCTTACAGTTACCGGTTCGAATCCTGTAATAGGCACTGTCGACCTGTTAATTCCATCCCACTCCTTTCTACATGCGCTGTCAAGGGTGTTGTGCTCTCGTGGTTGCAGGTTCGAATCCTTGTCGTACTTGACAAGGGATCAATTTTAATTCACTGGTTCATATATATATTCATATATATTTTTATTCACTGGTTCATTTTAGAAACTGCAGCTGTGACTCAAGCTGGTTGCAGCTTCGCATATTGAAGGCAGTCGCCTACGACACGGCAGATCATTCCATTTCCCACTTCGAAACAACTCAACGCAGTCCTCATTTCCTCCATGGTTATCGGGTTGTTTAGCCGCCCAATTCATGAACTCCACCTCATCAGTGAGATCCAGACATTTCCAGATACCTATCAGAAAAAAAATACAACGATAAACATGAACAAATTGAGAAATAATATTGAAGTCTTATTTTATCTGCTGAAATGCTAATTGTACATGTATATATCACGGTTGTAATTTTTTTAAAGAGGTTGTGGAATGCTGAAAATCGTTTTGTTTTTTATATTTTTATATTGTAGAGTAGACCCATATATAGCATAATGACAAACTCCCATTCTTTTCTAATGTGCGTTTATATGTTTATAAAACTGAAATTCATCGAGTAATTTGTTGGTCGGCGAGCGCATAAATGAAATCAACAGTCGTCGGGCTCTTCGTAAAATCAGAAAAAGCGTGACGTAAAAAACAGGACTCGTTTATACAACGACTGTTTACTGCTGCCCAACCCGCCCCGTCAGCACGTGTGACTCGCAGTCAAGCAGTGAAAAATCAACATTTTGTAAAAGACTCACGGAGATTGATATTCCTTCCCATTGCTTAATTTTTGGATGAGTATATTGAACAAGGACACGGTGACCTCTGAGCTGTTCTTCCGTATAAATTTGAGCCCCAACTATCCGAAAAAGAGACCAGCGAAAACACGGATACTGCAACTGGCCAGCTGAAAACGCCAGGCAACGCGGCTCTGATGAGAGGTAGGTCTGCGACGTTCGGCGTGAAAAAAAAAACAGCTACGTTTTATCCAAGGACTCAAAGTATTATGTTCATGATAACATTTTTAGATGAGCATCAACAGTCCTATCGCAACTTTCTTCGTGTTTTACAGACAATCTCAAACGTTATTCTGGTAAAAATTCAGTCCAAAGAGACGACAAATCGTCAGGTTGTTTTCGAATTATACGCGTACGGCACGCATAACGCATCACGGCGGTGGATGTGGTCGACCGTGTCCAGAAATAATGTTGTACGGTTAGCAGCGTCGCGGGCCCCGGTCAAGTTCCTTGCGTTGCCTGGTGCTTTTTATGTATACGTTCGCCACAAAAAATTAGTCCTCTTCTCTTTTCTTTCCTTGTGCATTTTAACCCTTGTTTTAACATCCTGAAACGATAATTACGAATTTACTTGAATTTTGAAATTGTTAACTTTATTGTTTACCAAAAAAGCCGTAAAACAACGCCAGGAGACATGTCGTTGCGCGGAGTGATTTGCAAAAAGTTTCGCTGGAACTACGCTGCATCGGGAGTCCTGTTTATTACGTCACGATTTACTATGTTTTGTTTGCTGCCCCCAACGACGACTTTTACACAAATTGCACGTTCGGGTCGAAACAGGACCTGAAAAACAGCTCTCAAAAGTACCTTTTGTATTCATTTCATGACAGAAACAATAGTCGTTTTTATTTCATCACACCCTAGGCTACATATACCCGAAAAATGACGGAAATGTCTTCGAGCATTCCACAACCTCTTTAATCGAATAAAATAATACTCATAATAAATAGATAACAAAGCCACGTTAGGTTTAACAAACCTTCTTCCTCGAAATTGTTGCAATTGATCCAAAACCTGGTAGGCACTAGACGCATGAGGAAATCGGTTTCCTCCTGAGACTGCGGCACGGCTAAGACACCTCCCATTTTGATGCACTCATCTTTGGCTTCAGCCCATGTCAAAGGATTCATGATGGCTCTGTAGCATTTGCCACCCCACTGGATCCAAGGAGGAGGACACGCCCACCGACGGCCACTACTGGAGGTCTTACACATCTCGTTACCACCAGTGCAACCCATCATCAGATGAAGGCTTATCAAGCAACAGATGAACCGTTTACGCACCATCATCTCTCGCATCTTACTCGGCTGGTGTCTAGTGGTGAAATGATCAGACCGTATGTCAATTTAATTCCTCTTGTTATTCAGAGCTCTGCCTGTGATGTTTACTTTTAATTTTATTTAGGGAAGATATCCAAATATTCACAATCTCTTTCCGTTCTGTCACTGTCACTCGCCGCGTAGCAAAGTGTGTAATCAATGTCGGGAGAAATCCAATTTGGACTCGTGATGCCACATTTTATACCAAGATGCACCGACCTGTGGTTACAGCTCTTGTTTGTAGCCTCATACTTAAAGGTGATATGCCATGAATATAATATACGTGGGATATATTAGAATGCAAGTACGTCACGTTCTATTGAGCCTCTTAATCAGAGACACGATTTGTGCAAGGTAAAAAGAGGAAAGCTAATCAAATTCCATGGCCATTAAATAAAACTGACGTTTTAAAGTTAAAAACCGACGTGCATTAAAGACACCGTTTTATTCTTCATATTTTCCGACAAGTAAATTAGAGACCTCATGAAACCTGATTTCATCAATATTAAAAGTAAATATATACTGCAGCCCTAAGAGCAGTCGGTAATGAACACCTTAATTAGATTTTAATATAGTTTTGCCAATTTCAAGTTGATTTCTCTTGTTTTCCACAGCTCCGACTGTTATGTTTACTTCTATTTTTAATAAAAGAAGATATCAAAACACATTCTTTCTGTTTCGTGTTTCGTGTTTACCGTAATGCATCAAATCTATTAGTAGTTTTTGCTGTTTGTTTAAATTACTTAAAGATAATGTGGCATTGAATAGAGATACGCAGGGAATCAAAACGCAAGTATAGGCAACGCTATGTGGAATCCTTCATTAGAGACCCGGCGCGTATGAGCTCCAAAAGCGAAAGTTAAGCAAATCTCATTAAACAACAAAATTACATTTAAAGTGTTACATACATTCACATTTCTTGATTTCAAATTAATATTGAACGTACAAAGATCAGAAGTTTACAGAAAGAGATGATGAAAAAGATTGAAAAAAAGACATTTTTCTGTAATTTAAACCGAAGGTGTCTTGCGGGTCGCCATTTTTTCCCCAAACGACATAAGCAAATAGGATGTACGTTATGAGGTTTTGGACTTGACTTCCCTAACACATGAAAAATATGTATACATACAGAGAAAAAAGAAAAATGATTTCGAACCTAATTGAATTCGTACTTTGTATTTCCCCTTAAACAAAAATCTTCCAAAGCCGCAAATTAGAAAAAAAAGCGTGTTAAACATGATTTCGAACTCGCCCCTTCCGATCTGAAAACAATAACATCCAGCTGAGCCATGAGAGAACTCGGCAGCCAACCGTAATTCCTGGCATTATATAACTGCAGATGTATGACAAAAGTATCGTAGAGGTCGCGCCATCCATAGGATGATGCTTGGAGGGGAAAAAAACAAGTCGCTGGCGGTTGGCTAATGTTGGGTCGACCAATTAGGAGGGCCCTAGCACAGACGGACGGCAACAGGCCAACAGCCAATCACACGCCGAGGGACACAGCCGTTGGGACGACCCACTGACCTCGTGTATTCCAACTGGACAGGCTGCTACACGCAATTTTTCTATGTGCGCCTTGAAACCACTGATCCACCATCTTGGATCCTTAAAACGTCAAGTTCTGCGAATGAGGCGCGGTTCTAGGGGGGCTAGGGAGGGGGGGGGGGCTGTAGACCCCCAAACATTTTGTCTAGCCCCCCCCCCCCAAAAAAAAAGAAATTCCGTAAAAAAAAAAATTGCATTAGCCAAAAGAAGGATTGTGATGTACATGCGAACGGTCTCCCCCTAAAGAAGAAATAGCCGTGACAAGGGTGCATTAGTTAATATTATAGTGTGAATGATTTTAGGATTTTATTGGCGCTCCCCATTGAAAATATGGCATGAGCCCCCCCCCCCCCCCCCCCTATTGATTTTTGGAGGCCTAAGTGTCTGGAAAAAATAACCGGTCAACATTTCAGCACGCCTCCCTGAAAAAATTCTGGATCCACCGTGCTAGCCCCCCAAAAATATTGGTTCTAGAACCGCACCTGCTGCGTATGAGGTTATTTATTTTCACTAAATAATGATTTCCCTAATTTCCCTTAATTTTTTTTTATGTTACCCAAATCTTAAAAGCCGGTCCAATATACAATTCGTATTTTCGTCGCCTTAACTCTGAAGATAAAACAAAATCAAATACCAACTACTCGTTAAAAAAATAGGGTAACGCGTTTCACTGCGCGTGCGTCACGGTTGCTCCAAGATGGCAGGCCCTGCTTCAATGTATGGGCATTAACCATCCCAACGCACTATTGCAACTGATTGATCAACACAAAATCCAGGAAAATACTCACAACTCTCACAGGTGTACAAGACATAGGCCATACATGAAATGTAGAACTTGATTCACCCTCTTTCATTCGATGTTCATTTTTTCTTACTACCTGTAGGGGATTTTTTACTCCGACGCTGATCGCCCCTAAATAAGTACGTCCCAAAGCCCATCGCCAGTTTGAAAAATGACCTCTGAAAAAAGAACGATCCGTGTATTATTTTATTCCAAATATTTCAGATAATGCCAGTTCAAAGACCAGTTTAGAGCTGTAATCTCTTCGCTGCTATGAGCCTTCAAGTGCAGGGACCACATGCTCTCAATTGAACGTGTTATGGTCATTACTTCGCCGGGAGTAGGCAATTTGGGGCCTTTTCAATGGGCAGCACCAGGCTGGTGGTTTATAACAAACGCGCTCAACACATCCGACGTCAAAACCATTGTATTGCTTTTAAAGCTGCATATTATTTTATTTATTCTCAATAAAAACTCGCATTATAAGTACACGTGGTGTAGGCTACATATTGCATTATGTTACGAGCAGAAAACAAAAATAACGAACATTGTTGAGATAAAGCAGTCCTTGACAAAAATCAACTCCATTTTGAAACTTGGTGTCTTGTTCCGGTTCCCACATGAATTATCTCCAGTATTACGTCGGGTTTTCTATCACTGAACATCTTCTGCTCAGTTGTTGCAACTTTTGTCTTTTTTTTTTTTGTATCATCTTTAAACAATGTAAACAATGTAAGCCAATCAATATTGTTTTGGTCATGTGTCCCTTAGGCCTTTGCTGACTGAAACAAAAACATTTCACTCACCAATGTTAAAGTTAGGTCTATTGAAAAGCACTTTTCTTTTTCCCGACTAGAGTTGGTGTCATGACCTAATGACTTAGTGTGAAATGATCGGTACAGACAACTTGTCAATTATCAACAGGAGCTTCAGTCGGTGGTATTATCTGTATTTTCCACTTCAAGTGGACATTTTCTATACATTCACGAATTCTCCAAGATCGGATAACGAAGATATTACCGCACAATAACCAATTCCTTTATTTGCATTCATGTTTTTTTTTTATTTCCACAATAATTGCAGCAAATATTGAAACAAGTAAAACTGGATATGCAAGCAAGCAAAACTAATGTGAAGACGACATTTCGAGAAAAAAAAAGAGTCACAAGTCATTTTAAATCCAAATATCGATTCGAATCCTAATTGTCGAAAGTATTTTACTGGCTTAGCCAAACTAAACTTTAGCAATTGATTTTGAATTGATTCCAGACTTAAACTCGGCCGATAGATTGGTTTCAGTCCAAGTATAGCCGTTGAGGGCGCACTCACAGCAGGAACGGCATGATGAAAGCATGTCCCTCTTTCGGTTCCGGAGTGAAGAACTGTTGAGAACGCAAAAGAAATTGGTTTGGCAGAATGCTAGATACTGTGAAGATGTTCACAGAGGTGACCCAGAAAAAGTCTCTCTGCAGGACGTAGAGAATTATCGTAATTTATAAAGACAATTTCAAATCCAAATATTGATTTCAAATCTCGCAAATGCCTCATCAGGAGGATAACAAAACTGAGGGTGCAGAAATGGTAAGACAGCGAACTTACCGTTGGGCAATAGTTGGGGATAGTGAAGTACTTAGAGGGGTCCTGGATCCCTGGGCTATAGTTGACATATACCCCCACGGTGAGTGTTTGAACTATAGAAACAAACACAAGTGGATAAAGCAGGAAATTACTGACAAATTGAATGTTTCCCAATATTTGACAGTAGATACAGTTTGAAAAAAAAAATATCACATGAGCCGATTAAGATGTGGTGATGAGTGTATATCACCTTTTTTATGTATTTTTTTCCTAAACTAAACAATCGGCTGAATCTTGTCCACATTTTTGACTGCGTCATTTTCTCTTTTTTAATTGATATTTTTGAATAATGTATTTTTGAATAATTTATCATTTCTTGTCCAAATTAGCAGGTCTTCTGACGCAGAAGTTACAACAGCGGTTTTTTTTAAGCCCCGCCCCGTCGTTATTCGACCAAACAGAACCTGCACAAAAGTCCAACATGTGTGCACGTGCGTATGACGCGCGCGTCTGGAACATGCAAGCAGTTTGACATTGGAGAGCTGAGGTGCAGCAGGCGCACGTGTTGCTTCCCACGTGCACAGTGGGCGGAGCTAAATGGAACGGTTTATTAAAGCCGGAGTCCATCATTTGCAGCTATCCCAAAAAAATTAACTGGCGTAATTATTGTTGAAAAACATACTGGTTGAAAGATAGTAAGGAGACTAAACCCCCTGTGAAATTATTCTTTCTGGCAAGCTCTGATTTTGAAGTAATCAACGAAAGAAGGCATTTCCAACGATGTGTCTTAAGACGCACCGTAGGAAAATTTAAATTAGTAGTTCGTTTTGTTATTCGGCGCAGCGCGCGCAAGCATTAGCACGACCATGGGCACGACGCACAGGCGCGCGCGGTTGCTATAATTCTTCGGATCAGTGCGCGACATCGCGTAAAGCTGCAATTCAAAACATGATTTAGCAACTTTTGATTTGAAATTGAGATCCTAGAATGCTGTTTTTCTCGGAATATACAGCTGAAGCTGAGCTGAAACGTCATCAGGTTAGTTGTTACAAGGGCGGATCCAGGGGGGGGGGGCCAAAGGGGGCCATGGCCCCCCCCCAAAACGAAACCAATTTTTTTTTTTTTAATGTGACATCGCAATAAAGGCAGGCAATGAGTACACCACCATCTTTTCCTAAAAAAACATTGGTTAAAGTGGTCAGAAATTGCCTCAGATCGCACCACAGAGCATCTAGAATCCAAAAAATTTTCGGGGCCCTTACGGGCCCCGAACCCCACGCCGTAATTTTTTTACCCACTTTTTGGGGGGGACCAAATTTTTTTTGGCCCCCCCAAAATTGTGTTCTGGATCCGCCCTTGAGTTGTTAAGAATCTTCATTAGATTTTGAACACTTTTGTTGCTTCAAACGAACAAAATGCACAAATTACAAATGATGGACTATGTCTTTAAATCGTGACTGTCAACGTAATGACATACTTCCCCCTGACGATCCGATGAACGTTTCACTGAATGGAATGCAGTTATCCTTGGTGACAGACAGGGTCACGTTTCCCACGTTAGATCCATCATTAACGGAGTAGCTGAACGTGTCTGCATTCAACTTGTGATCTCCAGCATAGAAAGAACCTCCGTAGGTGGCGTTACCTAAAAGGAACATCCATATGTTACCACCCATTCAGTCTGGTTCCCTGACCTGACAATTTTTCCCGACGACCAGACGTTTAAATTGTACTCAAGGCAACCTTCGAGGCTAAAAATACACATGACGATATCGACGACCCTTTTTCAAAGCTCAGCTTCGTTTCCCAATTCGCTCTTTCACTTATAGCTTGTAATGTGCCGATCAAATTTTTCAAAATTTTACCTGCTTCATTTGTCATACAGTTTAATATTTCTGTAAGAAAAAATGGACGAATGCTGACCCGTAATCTTAAAAGTTAGAACCCCAAATATCATCTTAGCAGGCGAAGCCAAAATGGAGACAACGCCGAGTTTTGAAGAAATAAAATCCCGGTAACCGTCGCTCAATTCAAACACGTAGCAGAGCTCGCCCCTCGTACAATCCTAGTGCTTAATTGATGCACAAAATCGTCATTGAATTTTAATAAGTTTCTTGATGCAATTTATGAGTATTAATTATCAACTTGGTTTGTAATTTTTTAACAATAATAATAATAATAATATCGGAGTCTTATATAGCGCACGTATCTACCAACAATTAGGTACTCAAGGCGCTGGAAAATAACTTGAAGGTAGTTTAAATACATATTCTATACCCAGAAATACCTGGGCGCTCTCTTAGATTTCGACCAAATATTATTTGGCACACTTCGGTCATTTTCGAAAAAAGAAGGCATTTCTCCTTTTTCCGAAATTCGTGACGAAAAACAGTGCGCGCGTTGTGGGGTGCACGGCTGTAAATAGGCAAACAATCCGTCCGCCGAGCTCATGAATAAAAGTTATACCCTCAAAAAAATTCTATATTAGAGAGTTTTGAGAGCCATAAACTTGGGAAATTGAAAAGATATGGTAATGAACCTTGACTTTAGGGCTTCCAATTCTGAGCATTTGGATGCAATTGGGCTCGAAGAAGGCGCTATTTTGCCATGTTGGGGAGGGATCTTTTCCAAGATGGCTACTTTTCCGCTTTGGGGAAAATAGGGGTCGGCTTCTTTGGGTGAGAATATCTCCGGCGAAAAGTCAATGGTCAACCCACCAAAAAATGAAAAGAAAATGAAAGATGACATGTTGATCATCATTCGTCTGTGCAGCTTGAATACCTGTGAGAGTACTGAGTATTTTTGAAAGAATTTTGAAGTATGAGCACTGAGAACTAGTGTCTATGAAATTTATTTTTGCAGGGTTGCACCCAGCGGTAGTGGCTACCTGACCTAAGATTCATCTAGAGTAGTCAGAATATTTTGGTCTGGGAACCAGACTAAATACCCCGTAGGACAGCGAGGGCGCCCTGTGGGCAAAGGGTGCTCCTAGTCTAGTCATGCGTGCATCTTGCGCACATATCCAATAAAGGGGGTTGTGTAATCGTGAGCAATGCTATGAGTTCCTGTGTACAGTATCCTAACGTCGTTAAAAACATTGTCGCAATTTGAATTTACTAAAAACATAACTCAAACGCAGTTATTCGGCATAATGCCTGTTACATTAAGGAGTGATATTAATGCTCACAAAATCGTGGATAGTTATATTTCCATGCCATTGCCTTATGTTGCTGATTTGGCAGGCGAGTTGAATTTTCTTGTTAATTGTAAGCATCTAGTATCATTACAGAACTTATACAAAACAGTTATTAAACTATATAATAAACTAAAATGGCAAACTTGTCAACAAGATAACAATAATAACACCCAACATATTCGAGTGTGCCATTCACTTACTTGGGACACAATGCTGCATTTGCATTGTCGGTAGTGGACTTTTCTGGCATGTCTTCATAGTGAGATTGATGACGTAAATGACGCCCTGTTCATGTTGGAGAAGAAATTTCAGTTGCATTGTTGGATTGTGAATTCCGTTGGATTAACTAATGTTATCATCTAGCACTGTTCGTTTAAGGCTAGCTCTAGATCCTTACCGCTATAGGTACAGGATTTGGCCGACAAGAATGACGATCTTACAGTCGAAATCACTATTATGAGTTATTAAATTTCTAGTGATGAAACCTATTCCCCATAAGCACCCTCTAGGCAGTGTAGGTCGAATATAAAATAATATTGCTGTGAAAACCCACGTTATTGGGTAGGGAATAAAAACTAAGAACCCAATCCAACCGTGGACCAAGGCGAGAATCGAACCCGGGCCCTAGAGGTGGAAGACCACGACAGGAGCGATGCCAACTAACCTGACGCCCCCAAATGACTCATCCCAAAATGACGCATGAGATGTCCATGAAAAAGTGTCGGGCTTACCTTGTTGTAATCTAAGACATATTGATACATACTGCCGGACATTTGGAGAAGTTCGCCCAAACGTCTGTTGGTGTAATCGAAGGCAAATTGTATCCCCGTCGTCTGAACCATACCTTGCCCAGACTGAACCGAGGCGGTAATCAGACCTGTAAATCCAAGCCCAAAAAGGGAAAGCTACATTTATTTCAAGAAATGTGTCCACTGTCCAAATCTAAAACGCTTCATCTGGAGCAATTGGCTTAAGCCACCTAGGACCATTTGCAAATACACGGAAAAGCGATATTTAGAATGAATGGTAGGAATCCTTGCTCAAGTGAAGATGAGACTGGTATAAAATACCCTGTGCAGTTATTCAACCTGGAATGGTATCGTGGGTGGGAACATTGAATATGATCTCAAGAATAGGGCGCCAGTTACGACAACCCAAAAATTATGAATATGTTTGTTGTTTTTTTTATCAAAATATATAGTGCACTGAGCTAAAAGTTCAACAGGTTAGTTTATGTGTATCCTACTGGAGATTTTGAGCAATTTGTCTACGAAAGAAAGTGTAACAGTCCAAAACTGATTAAATGTGTACAAATGTATTTAACAATCAGAAAGTGAACACGGTTCAAGTGTTCCAAAGTCACCGTCCATTGCTTCAAATTGGTCTGGGTGGCAACATTGCTTCTGGGCCTGGCTCAATGCTACTACAACCAGCAGCAGAAACAACACCGATTTGACGTCCATCTTTACCGCCTAAAAATGTGGTACTGTGCAACGTACAACTGCCTTCTAAACGTTATTGAGTCTATCGCGACCTCCGTGTTACAGTTGCTTCTTCGTTGTGTACCCAGACCACTTCAAGTAGGACTTTGACTCTGGTGATAGGCACGGCAGTCGCGTTATGTGGGGTGTGTTTGATTAGCTCATCGGGGTCGACTCTGGGTTCAGTGGCGTAGCCAGGAATTTTTCAGTGGGGGGGAGGGGGGGGGGGTCTTGGGGGGGGCTGGAACATTTCATGGGGGGCGTCATGTAGATCAATGATTTTTTTTTTGAAACTCAAAATCTCAAGGGGGGGGGGCGACTGGGGGCGACAAGGTTTCATGGGGGGCCCCCCACGCCCCCCCCCCCTCCCCCCACGTCCCCTCCCCCCACGCCCCCCCCCCCATGGCTACGCCACTGCCGTGGCGGTAGCTATTGAAAAAGCGCTGAACTTGTAAACATTAAAACAACGAACTATCACGGGCCTTGGTCCACAAGCCAATGTCCGACATCGGCACAGTGCATGGGCTATCGACCAGATAAATTATATCTCATTTGGGTACCTCTCCGATTTCTCAGATGGCCGCACTCCCTCAAATATTAAAAACCTCTGCGGGTCAACTTTTGATGTGATTCCTTGATGTAAACCTCGGGTCAATGGGGTCAGCTAGCTGGCTGCCATTGGTTGGCGTTATGACCTTGAATTTCATTTCATATGTCGAGGTATTGACCAGGTTTGCTTTTGTGATAACACCATTGATGGTAGGGTGTAGTTCCTAGATCTATAGCTCTACATTCACGCTGTAGAGCTATAGGTCTATATTGGTAATTATAGACCCATATCAGTATTGCCCACATTTTCCAAATTATTGAAAAGTTAATTTACACAAGATTAATGTCTTTTATGAACAAGCACGATATCGTGTCTGATGCACAATTTGGCTTTAGACAAAAAAGGTCAACTGATCTGGCGACATCCTATGTTCTAAGTATATGTACCGCGATTGAACATAATAATTTATCGATTGGCATATTTCTAGACTTGTTAAAAGCTTTTGATACAGTCAATCAATCAGTGATCATACCCTTCCTTTATTTGCGAATTTGAGACTCTTACAATTCAATGACTTATACTACTTTAACCTGGGCAAATTCATGTATAGATTTACACACAATGCATTACCTACTTGTTTCAACCCCTTCTTTATGCTCACATCTGATATTCATTTGTATAATACCCGAAGCACTAGGAGAAATTTATATGTCCAATTCAACAGAACAACATTGTCTTAAAAAAAAACGTTATTCAACGTGGTACATCATACTGGAATAGTCTAGATGACTTCTTTAAATCATCACCCTCCTTCTCTGTCTTTGTTAAAAATCTGAGATCACATCTACTCAATTCGTATTCGAACAACTAGTTATAATTTATGAATCTAGATGTATGCTCTCGTCTCATACCAGTTTGTGTTTTTTTTCTACGTTTATTCGAATAACTAGTTATAATTTATGAATCTAGATGTATGCCCTCGTTTCATACCAGTTTGTGTTTTTCTAGGTTGTGTCTTTGTGTGTCTCACTGTTGTCCATTTTGTCCTTTGTCACTGTCTCTGTTTTTCTTGGTCATGTCCACTTGTCTGTCGATAGGTTAGGGTACAAAAGCGTGACGCTTCACCTTATACCTAAATGTTGTCGTAAATTTGTTCTAGTATTGATCCATGTACATTATTATACACAATTACATAACTCCTTGCATTTTGCTCTGTATAATATGTTTACACGGCATTGTAACATGTTATTGTGTGGAAATGGCAACATTGAAATAAATGTTTCTACTACTACTACTACTAAGGTTACTGAGCACGTGATGCGGTATTGAGCTTCAAGTTCAATGTTCAAGTTGCCATATTTGTTTATAGACAGATTTCGTTCAAATAAGAACATCATTCGAACGGCTGATATTTAGCTGATAGGCAAAGCCGCATTTGGACTTTTGACATTCACAAGAAATTAAGGTAGGCCTTTTAATTTTAGTGATCCATAAATCATTTTAAATGCATGTACTGTGATTTTGAGAAGGAAGGTCTGCATTCAGTATGCCCACATCACGAATATCATGGGGGCACAGTCACTGTCGAGCATGCAGTGAAGTGGATTTTGTCGGGCCCATGATTACGAAAATCACTTGTGCATGTCAATTTCACGAATTAAACCTCACGGGGCCATATGATTGGGGAGGGGGGGGGGGGGAGTGCGGGACTGAGGATTTTATTATTCAGCAAAATTTGGACTTTCGGGTGTCCAACAATGTAGCCTATTTGACCTCTTCATTGCGTATGTGTGGACCCCACAACTGGTAATACCATTTCATGACTTCTAAAAATGAAACTATGGCCAGAAGAAAAGGTGTTTTGAATGGGTGAGGAGAAGGATAAGGAATCGTGCAGTTGTAACTGGAAAGAATAGGTGTGGCGTGTCCTAGTCTTGTACCCAGTTGAGTATATATACAACTTGCGTTCAGAGACTGGCGACCATGCATCTTTACACGGGAACTTTTGAAACCAAATGATCAATTCGGGTATTATATATAAATACTATTAACATTATTAAGACCTACTGTGGAATACCACTTCAAACGGATTCATCAATTCACGTTGAAAAGAGTTGCAGTACGGGCCTACCCCCGGAAGGTGCACCGCACCCGGTGTGTTATGAAATGTTGACTCCGTAAAAGAAAATCAGCATCCGGGCCTTGTCACGCATGTCGCAGTTTTTATACACAGGATAGGAAAAAATGAAGCCATAGGCTTTAAATGTTGTATTGTAAGGATAACTATCCAATAGTCCTCAATGCAAAGAGACATGATAAACATGCAGGTCCAAATTCCAGATCACACCCGAGTTCCATTTTAGTCTGTCACGTTCCATTTTAGTCTGTCACGTGACCGTCTTTCAGCCACGCATTTAATTAACATATTCCATGAGGAGGATTTAAAGTCCTAATGTTTTGGTGCCGGGGGGAGGGGAGAGAGAATACGGCCAAAACGATCATCACTCCCACGATACCATTAGGATATGCACATCAAGTAGTGTACTCATATACTCATATCCCCCTGGCTTTTACCGACGACCGAGTTCAGGAATTGTCTTTTCATCATCATCATCCGGTGATAAAGCAATGGAAGGGGGAGTTCAAGCAAAAGGAGAAGGGGGGGGGGAGTGGGACAATGTAGAATGGACAATTCATTTTTGCCTTCTATTCATTTGAAGCAACAAAAGTTTTCAAAATCTAAAGACAGATTAACAACTAACCCGGTGAAATTTTAGCTCTGTGAATTCTGTACATTTCGAGAAAACACACTATTCTCGATTTCAGTTAAAAAATTGCATGTCATATTTTGAATTGCGCCCTCTCGTGACTCAATCCCAAAAATCAGCATTAGGGACAGGGTTCTCATTTCTCTCAGGAAATGACTTTCTTTTATAGTTTTCTTCAAAATGACAGCGTGCCAGAAGAAATAATTTCACAGGGAGTTTATTGTCATTACTTTCTTTAAACCATGTAGGCTTTTAACAATAATTTGGTTGGTTACTTTTTGGATAGCTGCAAATGGTCCACTCTAAAGTGCCATGTAGTCAATGAAATAAGAACTGCCTTGAATACAGCTACGCGGTTTTATGACTATACAACTGCATGTACAGCACTCGAAACATCGTTTGATGTCCCCGACCCCTAGTAATAATCTGGATTTCTCAGTGAGCTAATACCATTCTCCAAATCATGGAAACAAATAGGCATGCCCCTGCTGTGACTTGTGATTGTGATTCCCGATCTATTCTTGTCATAATTTTCGTAGCTTCAAAGATGTACCGATTAGGCATCAAGGACCTTCTGCAGTGCTTCAGTGACGGCACCTTGACATGCGAGGCCTACACAAGACGAGTCATCCAACGAGCCCAGGACCTAAAAGTCTTCAACTACTTCGTCTCCATGAATACGGATCGGATGCTGAAGGATGCCCAGGAGGCAGATGCCAAGTACAGGAACAAGACCAACCGGCCTCTGGAAGGCATCCCGATCGCCATGAATGATAACATCGACATCGAAGGCGAGCCGACCGAAGCAGGTACCCCTGGTCTTGCCGGCCTGAAGCCCAAACACACGGCCGAGGTCGCTCGGAGGTTGTTCGATGCCGGGGCCATCCACGCCGGTCGAGCTAACATGCACGAGCTGGCTTTTGGAATCTCAAGCTGCAACGCTCATAAAGGGCCGTGCCACAACTTCCACAATTTTGACTACACCTGCGGGGGAAGTAGCGGCGGCAGCTGAGGGGCGGTCTCTGCAGACATCGTCCCGGCTGCCCTGGGTACTGACACTCGTGGATCGATCCGGATACCCTCCTCATACAACGGGGTCTTCGGTCTGCGACCGACCAGCGGTCGCTGGCCGGCTGATTACGGTGCCAAGTTGTCTCATGTGAGAGACTCAGTGGGTCCCCTTGTACGCAGCGCCGTAGATATCGCGATCCTCGACTGCGTCATGACGGGAGAAGAACCCCACGAGGAACTGAAACCGGGGCAGATTAGGATCGGGGTGCCCCGACCTCAGTTCTGGGAAGGTCTAAACGCCGAAGTGGAGGAGTACGCAGAGCTGTTTTTGGTCAGGCTGAAGGAGAAAGGCTTTGGGATTGTAGAGGTGCCAGAGGTTCCCGGATTGAGGGAGTTGCCGGAAATATACTTCACCATCAACCAAGAGATCATACCTCTGCTGGAGGAGTATCTGAGCTACCACGGCCATGACGTCACTGTGCAAAGCATCATCGACAAGATCGCCTCCCCAGATGTAAAGGAACAGCTTCAAGACGCGATGGAGAATCGTCCAACCGAGAAGGAATGCAAGGACGCAATGGCTACCAGGGAAGAGATTAGGAAGAATTTGAGGACGTACTTCGAGGACCACCACCTGGACTGCATCCTGGTCCCTGCCAACAAGATCCCGCCGCCTACCTTACGC